TGAAATGGATATATTATCGCAGAAAAGTGTCAAGCGAATGGGGTGGCGCACGGAGGAGGCCGCCCTTGGGCGTCCCGTTTATTTTTGTTTCCATGTTACGTCTTCGGCAAGCATGAATATGCCAGATGCAGGTCTGGAGATCGTCTTTGCGCGAGGAGATGCACCTTCAAGAGTGGCCGCCCGCGTTTATTTATTTGGTTTCGAAATCTGCCCGACCGCACAGTAGCGCCCGATATTTTATGATATCAATCGGCCGCCACTGAACGCAGGCAAGGTCAGGGTGATGCATATTCAAGACGCTCGTAATTAATGACAGGAAACCGGAAGCGGTTATGGCAGACAACTTTCACCGTCCAGCGCATTCCACAAGATTGAGGGTGGTGTCAAAACATTGCATCTCTGACAAATTAAACAGCGAGTGAATTTGTGAAATTAAATATATTTGAGATAATTGTAATAAATCAAAAAAAAAAGCATAAATGACGGTTTAATCCTTTTGTTTCCTTGGAAAAATTAGGGTTTATTTTTGTATTTAATGCATTTTTTTAAAACAATTAATGCTTATTTCTTAACTGCCAAAATAAGACTTATTTCGTGGCTTTCAAAATTTCAATAGCTTAAGTGAGCAAAAAAAATGTAGAAACTCCCTAACATTATTTTGCATTTGATGCAATTAATCACTCTAGCTTGATCATAGCAAATATTATTTTACTAAAAGAGAACGTTTTTTACCTTTGGAGAAATTTTGAAAGTATACTTTGGGCGATCAAAAATTTTTTTTATATTAATTTGATCCTTTTATATTTTAAAGGTACTTTACTTGGCATTGATATGCAAATAAGACATTTTTAATTACCAAATATTTAATTAAAGAAAATTAGGTGTGGGAAATTTCATAAGCAAAATATTAAATACATTTGTTCGAAGATTTTGTCTCCGAATTGCGAACGGCAAAAAATATTATCGCAAATAATTATAGTTTTTGTTTTGGGTGAAAAGATCTATATTTCTGAATATTTGACATCTCAGCTGGTTTTTTATATTTTGCACAGAACCATTTTTATAAAAAAAAAAAAAAAAAAAAAAAAAAAAAAAGTAAATTAAAATAATAAAAAGCATTTATTGCCTGTCCGTACTTTTATATTATTATATTTATTTTACGCTAAAAAAAAACATGCTTTTAAAAATTTTGATTCTTTTAATATCATTTCAATTTTATATGATTTTTTTTAATTTTTATGTGCATTCAAATTTCAAAATATGATTGATTACTTGTCTTTTACTGAAGTCACGCTAATTACACATAAGTGCTTCATCCCAACTAGTTAGCGACGCGCCCCTGCTTTCACTCCAAGTAATCGTAAAACTTTGCGCTCACATAAAATCTTTTGAGCGGCAGTGTATGAATAAATTTGCTGAATTAGCATAGACAAAGGGTGTGCGATTGCCAACTTTCTTACTCAATACCAGATGTTCGCAAGGCTCTCCCCGTGTTTATTCGCACAAAAGTGAATATACGTAGAGTGAGTGACAGAATAATTTATGCGTAGGGAACTTCTCAGCTTTCTTGTTTAAAAATAAAAGAGAGAAGGACTTTAATTCCAACTCATAACAATGAACTCAAGATGCTGTACTTCTCTTGCAAGACAGAAGAAGTTCTCTCCTCACATTGTTCTGTTTCAAGTAAAAAAAATGTCACCCTGTAGAATTGACGTTTCAAATCTTATTCTTGCGTAAAGAAAACTCGTATTTTTTAAGACAATTTCCACTTGGCTACATTTATTTCAGAAAGTTGTGCTATTTTCTTTGTTTCTGTGGCTTGTGCAATTTAATCCTAAGGACTATAAGTTCTACATACTTGTAGCCAGGCGCAAACTTTGCGTTGAAAGGCTGCCCAAAGCTAGAACTTTCGTTTGCACCGGCTTCCTTTAATCAAGCAACACTTCAATTGAGAATTTTAATGAAGGTCTGCTGCTCCTACGGCTAATGAGGTTAACTGAGTTGTTGCGTGGCTTACTTTTGCAACAAGGTAGAACAACAATTCTGTTGTCTAACCTAAGTTAATGATGTTATTATTTAACATCTTAATTATTTTCAATTTGAATAATTTATGAGAAATAAATTATCCAGATGAAATGCAGTAAAATTTGATCGATAAGATTATAGAATTGATAGGGTCTAGAAACTGCTAGGAAATCGCATTAAAATTTATTTTTATTTTTAAGACAAATGTTAAGTTTTCAAAGTTTCTGTAAAAGATAATAACTGCTTCATGAGGAAAGCTGTCATTCACTCGGCAAAAAATTTAAGAACTTCACGTCAATTTTGACTTTGAAAATAATTATTCTTCAGAAATTTTTGAATAATAAAATAACTAACAATTTTCACACACAAAAATTAACACCATTTTTTAATTAAAATATTTTCACTTTACGTCAATGGGAATGAAACGCACTCTTTTTTTTTTATAAATTTGCTCTTTGTTAGTTACAAACGATAGAGTGGCCTGACTATGTAAGCACTAAACCGGTTCACAATGAGCTGTGGCATCGATCAGACTGCGTTTTAATGCAATTAAAAGCGAGCATCCCCTCAGCTGTTGGGAGTCGCGACCTCCTTCATTAGAGAAACCCCACCCTGGTCCATGGATGCAAGCCTAGGGCACGTGTGTTGCATCTGAGCTGCACTGATTGCATTTGCTCTGCAAGCCGCGTGTTGACACAGAAAATTATCAATTACTTCGGCAAAGATTTATTGACGGTATAAATTTGCAGTAAAATCGATTGATGAAGAAATTGCCTCTTTATATACAGAAGTGGTTTGCTAATGACTATTCTTGCAATTAAAACGTGTGGGTGCAATATTCTCGTCAAACGATGCAAGTACGTAATGAAAGCCTTGGTAGATATTTAACTCATGTTGCAAGTGCACCAAACACACGAGGTGGAAAATGTGATCAATTTTGCGCTTCGATTGTGTCCCATATTTTCATCGAAAAGTTTCCACTCCACCTGATCCCTTGCAAACGCTCGCTTTTTCCGGCTTATATTGTTAGTAAGAAGTTCTCTGTCAAAGGACCGTCTTGGCGATTTTGCGGAGTGAATCCCATTGTGATCGGCGAAAAATCCGGAGACTCGTGAATGCGTGGAACTCGTCCAATCAACTAGATTCGCTGAATTCCTATTGCTTCGACGCATGCGAAATAATTCGTACCGAACGACTCGGCGATGCGTGCGAATGTCAATTGACGTGTGAAAGTGGAGAATTTATGCGTATATTTAGTTCACATTCAGATGAGCAGCTTTAGGCTTGGATGATCAAAATTTATATAAATTTGTTACATTAAGCCCCAGCACTAAATTTTTATAAATTTATTTCTAACACTTGTCTGTGCCCGATTTATTTGCTATGTCAAAAAACATTTAAATATCACAAAATTTACTAATTACAAATGAAACAATTAATATATTTAGTAAAAAAATCAATCATATTGTAATAACTCTTATTTTAATTTTTACTTAATTATTAAATTTTAATTTATATGCATTTCTCTTTTTTTCCTTTTAATATTTTTTTTAAAATTATTTTTAATTATGCAATTATTTTTTATCTATTTAAATATGAGCGTTCAGAAAATGAAACTAGATTTTAATAAAGCTAATTTTATCTAATGCAACATTCATAATTATATATTAAAAAGCCAACCTATGAAATTTACAATGTAAATATTAGAAATATGCTTCCTTCTGGTGTAATTTGGGAGGATACAATCCTGTTTGAAGAGCTTTAATTTATAATATTAAAAAAAATAATATAAATTTCTCCAAAAAATATTGACGTTTAGCCATAATTATTAATTAATTATTAAAAATAATCTCAAATCATGATTATGTTGTGGCAAAAAAAGGACAAACCCTGCTCAGTAGTATCTACTTTATTAAATTCGTTATAATTTCAAGAAATATTGACATAACAAATAAAAATATTTCAAATTTTGAAAAGGTGAATTTTATCTCATAATACAAAGACAATAATTAATTCCAAAAATTAAACATGCGCATTCGGGTAAAAAAACTTTAGAAGTTAAGTTTATAAAATTCAAGATTTTGTTGTCACTTGTTTAAATATGCTCTTGATGAAAACAGTATTTGAGAGTTTCCAACTATTTCCAATAAAATTTTAGATAAAAAACGGCAGAGCGAACCAACTCTCATTTTAATAAATTTCGCTTCTCTCCCTTCCGAAGCAATATTGCTGCATGCAAATGAACGAAACTTTCGGCTGGCTGGATGAACCAACAACTCCTTTATTACCATTTGGCTCTCATATCCCAAAGGACCGACAGAAAGAGAGACTGTATCAAACGCCTCGGCGGATGTAAAGAGAGACGCAGGCAATTTTGGCCCGACGAAATCAAATCACCAACAAACAATGCACCTTTGCTGTGGATAGAGTTGAAAGAACCAATCAAAAGCATCTCACTTCATCACGTCCGCTTTTTTTTTATTTCTTTTTTGTCAACCACCAATTCTCTGCGGGTCCATTAAATGAGACGACTTGCTTGCTGGACTCCTATTTTCGCAACCGGTATAACAAACAAAAAGTTGTCGAGGTTTTGCCTCAAGGATTGGTCCTGTTCGGTCTCTCATTCAGCAAATAGTTGGCGGCGAATTTCGCCCACCCGTTCAATTTGGCCTTTTTTTGTACCAAGCCCACGCTCTAGGATAAGTATTTTTTTTTCAGCTTTTGTGGAACATTACTTGCATCTATGGACTGATTCAATTCATAGCTCCAAGCTTTCTGAATACTAATGTCGAGTCTCACTTAACGGTAATTTTGTATTCATAGGCAATTCACGTCCTCGTGTTTAATTTTATTTTCCAGCTGCTGGAATGCGATCAAAGTGATATGTAATTGGATTTGCAGATATATTTAAATCAGCTTTAGAATTTTGAATAAAATTACATGAAAGCACACTAGTGAATATTTGTGTGTTTCAGACGGAACAAATCACGGTCCTATGGATTCTGTTCGTTTTGATCGTTCTGGGAAATTCAGCGGTGTTGGCAGCTTTGTTGCTCGACAGCAAAGGGCGCAAATCGCGGATGAACTTCTTCATCATGCACCTCGCAATCGCAGGTTAGTAAATGCAAAATTATTTTCTCACTTATTACATTCATAAAATTTGTATTATCAAGATACAATTTCTTTTTTATTTGTCCTGTTTATTTTTTCTCATTGACTACATAATTTGCTCCTTTTTCATTGTTTTAAGTTTTATCCTAAAATTAAAGCAAGAAAATGTAACAATAGGACAAATAAACAGCAATAATTAATGAGATTTATTAAAAAATTGGAAAATTAAAAGATTTATATTCTATTCGAATTTTTTGAAGATCCAGAAATTCAATGTTTTAAGAAGGTAGTGAGTTTATTCACTTTTCTGGATTTACAATGATCTTGATAATTATGGGCATAGTAGCTTTTCAGATTAATTGTTGTAAAATTTAAGAAACGATAAGCTTGAAATTGAGTGATTTTAACAAACAAATATAATTTTTTCTTCTCATCACAAATAAAAGATGAACATTTTTCAAAAAAAGTTAATGGATGAGAACATATTTCTGGAAACAAACAAAAAATATGGAATTTGATATCAGCTGCTCCAGACATAATAAGTGACAAGCTGTCTGCTTTTTAACGCAAGAACCATTTTCTCTCTCAAATTAATTAAGAAAATGATGAGAAAAATTTTGTCAAAAAACATTGAAGTTCACGTCGCGAGAGACAACTTTCGCTAACTAGTTTTGAAAGCGGCGATTGATTACTGAATGATTCAATTTGAGCTCCGTACGTACGCGTCAGCTTAAAAAGAAGTGTCAATCTCGATTGTCAAATGCAGACTTTGTTCGTCAATCCGCGAGATCGAATTTTCTCCTCACAACGAGCCCGGGGATTAATATAATATATAAAATCGCATTTCGGCGGCTGCGGTTTCTGTTACACGCAGAGGTAGACTAATCAAGGCAGTAATTACAGAAGCAATTAATTCGGCCCGTCGACCAAGAACCACTGCTGGGATTATAATCGGGCGCAGCAGCCAAGAGGTAAAAATGAGAGGCGCCGTCCTTCGTGTATTCCCCAGATCAATTCAAGCTAGAGCGTTTGCGAGAGAAGAAGAACGTGAGACGTAATAGGTTTCTCGTCCAAACACTGCTTCTTCTCTTGGCTCGCTATCAAAACGCCGATACTGGAAGCTGCAGAGACGCGCCAGAGAGGCACAATGGAAACAAACAACTTCTGATGTATTTGAATTGGTTCTACTTAATTTTGCACTTTTATTGACTAAAAACCTTTAAGTAACAAAAATAAAAAATATAAATAATTTAATATTATTTTAATTTAAAATTTAGTACATAGAAGTCTTCACAAAATATACAAATTAAATATTATAATTTTTCCAATTATTTAAAATTTGAATTAAAATTGTATTCTTGTTGCATGAATTATTTATTTATGAATAAATAATATCATTGACATATACTTATATTTTAAATTAAATTTAAGGTGTATCTGTGTGGGCAGAGATTGACACAATGACGAGCAACAATATACTTTGTTGTTCATTAATAACATGTAATTAGCGTAAATTAATTGAAATTCCAGACGCACCTTTCCTTTGATCAACTTTTTACGAAACAAGGCGCTGGATTAGCTTATCTATAGAAGTTGAATGGCGAGAGGAAATCCTGTCATTAAAAGTCGAGCTCCAAAAATAGACGCGTTTCTTTAGCAACCAGAAATAAAAAAGTAGACGGGGCGTCCGAAAAGAAAATTGCAGAAACTCAATCCTCAGAGCTCACAGCGGGTGACAAAGAAATATTCAAATTGCGAGAAGACGAAAATAAGGAGTTCCTTTCAAACTGTGCATGACTCTATATCTGTGCCCGTTATTTTAATGCCACAATTCACCATGTGCCTCCAATTTCCACCACTGGCGTCTCAGACGCGGCCCTTTTCACCCAGAGAGAAGGATTTCGACGTGCCATCTTGGCTTCGAGAATTCCGCCTCGTCAACGCGACATGAACATTTTTTCCCCAACCTCGCCAAATAAATGGCGGCATTATGCGCGCCCGTTTTGATATTTCCATATTCATCAGCCGCAGGCACTATTTGAATATATATGCAAGTTCTTTTTGTCTTGCCAGCGAGGAAATTAACGCGCTTCCCGGAGGCAAAAAAAGCGTGGAAAGATCGAAGAAAATCACGCGGCTCTGCTTGATCTGCGGACGGATATGCGCAAAAGCGCAATGAGAGAAGTCAGAAGTCATCGCTTGGCTAAACTGTACTAAGACTTGACTCTAGCACCCGTTTCTGCTCCCAGCTCGACCTGTAGCTTCTTGTCCTACTTCGCAGTCTTTGTCTGTGGGAAATTGCTATTTGACGTGCGCAAGGAAAGTAGAGACGAGGTCTACTTTAGTTCTTCTTGTAGTGAGCACAAATTATTAAATTAATTCACGTTCCATTAATTATGGTATATGGCATTTAAATATAAATGAATTATTTTTAGCTAATTAATTTTTTTTAATTATTTAAAGATTAAATGCACTCTTTGTTTCTTGAATTACATTTGGGTATCATTAAATAAATTTAACTGAGCAAGGCAATTATCAATGATTAAAATTTTTGATTTAATATGCATTTTAAAATATGTATGTTAACATTTATTTTGTATAAAGACTTGAGTAATTGAATTAAAAATTTTTAAATACAGGCTTTAACCGTTTTAATATTAATTTAGATATCTATCTCCTAATTATTATAACATTTTAATAAAATATATTTAACAAATAACATTGTTTTATCCATCATGCAATTATTCTTAATAAATGTATATAATCTTTAGAATTAAATTTCGCTGAATTTGTTGAATTTATTAAAATATTTCTTTCTTTAATCCTGTGCTCGTTAGTATACCAGAGAGCCTACATGATTAATTTGTTTAGCAGAAACGTGCGTTTCTGCTAAAAGCTCGGAGTACAAGCGCTGCAAAAAGGAAACAACAATGGGAGTGAACAATTTTAATTGGAAACAAGTTCGCTACCATATTCTGGTTGAATAATTAATCCCACCGATTAATGCCAGCGGTATTTGCCATGATATTTAAGAGGATTTGGAGCCATTACGGCGCGATGGAGCTAAAGTCGGAGGTACGGAGCAGAATTTTCAGGCTTTGAAATTAATTGGGCTCTTTGAACTATTAAGAAAATCAAGTATTTTAGACACTCCCTTCCGCTATTTAGTTGATTAGAAAATGGGAATAAGTATGAATAAATGATGTTAATATTTTGTTTTTCATCTAATTGAAAGTTATAAATTTTTAACAATACGATCCATTTTATTATAGAATTAGATTTTTTACTTCAAAAAATTTCTAAACAGTATGATTATTTCAAGGGAAAATATTACAAGATTCGCAACACGTTCCGTTTTATTTCAATTTTATTCTGATAATAAAAAAAGAATAAACCACGCATCTGGATAATTTTTACGGTTGAGACAATCTTGAGAGTGAAAAGTCTCGGCCACGATGGAAGATTCTACGTGTCTCGGGAGAGGAAATAACTTTGAATCACGTCATTACTTCAACCGAGACGCACACAACACAACGCAAATCTCACAGAAACGGGGTCAGGAGCGCGAGAGCAGGGAACGAAAAGGAACAAGGGATGCTGTGCACGCTTCAGACGGCGTTGTGAGTGTGAATGGGATTTTGCAGCAGGAAATAAACGCACAAAATGTCATTAAAGACTCAAATGATGCATTCAAAAGCGGCTTACAAAATAAACCTTTGATTCAACGCAATTGAAATAATAATTCTTGGAAGATTTATTTCCTCCAGATAGAACAAATAAATTGTAAATCTTTTTTTAAATTTTTCAGAAATAAAAAATAATAAGTTTTTTGTTGCGAAATAAATTGTCAACTTGTAATGAATAAAATTTCCAAGTGAAAACTTGCATTCCTAAGGGATTAATGAAACAGGAGTGGAGTTGATCAATGGCTAAATGTTTTCGCCTAAAACAACTTAATGAAATTAACTGACGACCTCAAGAAGTAGCAACTTAACTTTGGCTTTTCAGTCAAATTGCAGTTATTAAGCAGGTTTAAATGCTTTTCGAATTAAACCAGTTTCAATTTTTTTATTTATACACAGTAATAATGAAATATTGTGTTTTATCTTACTCGAGCAAACAATTCTCACGCCCTTGTTTTCAAAACTTTCTCTTCCAGAAACCATCGTTGACCAACTTTGATCCACTTTTCCTAATAAATATCCACTTAAACGTTAGTTCTAGACAAATACAACAATTTGATCTGGGCGATAGGTTAGCCCTTGGCCCAATTGCTGCGCCTTTGCCAGAACATCTCCTATCCTTGATATGGACTAACTATGGAACTTTTCGCAATAGAGCCGTCAAACGAGTGATTCAGTGCTCGCCGCGATAACTTGATCACAAAATGTTCCCAGAAAGTCCTTTTTGTCGGCAGTATAGGCGCCTACACAAGACAAAAGCCAGTCTTGCAGGCCTTTCGTGTATGTGCGAAAATGCTTTATGCAAAAATTATTCAACTCGAAGCGCGTGTAGGGAAGGATCATGGTCGAAATAATTTATTATCGGAAACTGCGTCGCCAGTATCCTTGGCAACACGCAGAGAGAAAGAAAGATTTCGCGCGCGCACAACATCCACCGCGGCGGATAATCAGCTTTTATTGCCCGCACGCCTCGTTTTGACAAAAGAAAATTTATCATCTCGTGTGTGTTATGTGTGTTTGCGAGGGTCTTTTTCTGCGAAGGAACGGCAGCCGCCGGTATCATTATTACTGCGGACGAGAGAAGGTTTTTTATTAGCGCGCAGGGGAGTGGAATTTGCTCCAATATTAGAGTGACATAAATCCCAGTGTAATTGATTGTTTCTTTATCTTGATTGGGCAACCCTTTGGCAGCCTCTCTCTTTTCCTCCTGAATGATTTACAACGTTCGGAGAAAACGTCAAATGGATTGATGGAATAAATTTTTTTCAATATTATAAAAGAGAAACAAAAAATGTTATTGCTTCAAAAGAAGCGAAATGATTAAATGAGGGGAAGTGGGTTTTTTTATCTGTTCTTTAAAGGCCATTTATTTTCAATTAATTTTGCTAGTATTGGACAATATTTAGCAACAATTACAATAGCAACTTAAATCGAATAATTTATTTCAAGACAATAATGTGATAGATAATATAATTATTTTAATTACAAAAATCAAATTTTTTATAAATTTATTTTTGCTTCAAATCAAATGGAAGTGTTTCTACCTTGAAATAAATCATGAAAACACACAAAAAAATAGGTCTTCTCGCTAAAAATTATAAAAACTTAATATAAATAATTGTTAAAACAACAATAAGGAAAAGTGAATTATATTATACATTTTGGCATTATGTGTAAATTATCTATAAAAATCTTTTCAGTGTTTTACAGTTGGTTGATATTTTTTTCTGCTGCAAATTTCCGATATTCCACCCACGCAAGATTTGTTACTTTATCGCATCTCTTTCATACATTTTTGATACCAAATTTGTATTCACTGTTTGAGACTGTCATCCATATGAGATGAATCTTGTAGCAAAACACACACGCATATGATGAAAATTTGGAAAATTCTCTCTCGAATCCCGCGGCTCAAAGCGGGAACAACTCACTCAACTCGGGTTTAGCCCCGCAGCGAAAATGGTCCAAATGTGATTTTAATCCTTTGTGAAAACAAAAGCGTGTTGCACAACAAACATGCATAAATCACTCTTTGGTGAGGCTGGGAGCGTTCGTGTGGCAGAATTGATTTAAGTTCATCCCATCCTCTCATTTCATTTCAGAGCGACAGTTTTAATTCAATTTTAAGTAATACGACCCAAGAAGAATTGATGAGAAAGCTCTAAATTTGAATAATAATGTAATTTCTTGGAAAATTATGTAGATATTTTATGCAAAATATTATATTAAAAAAGATCTTATTTAGAAAATAAGGAAATAAAACGATGAAATATTTTATAATATTGGAAATGTGAAAAATTTGCAAAAGTTTTGAAATAAGTTATTGTTCAAATTTAAAAAAAAGCCATTGAAGTACTTGCATTTCTTAGTCTGTTTCTATAAGAAATAAGTTATGTTAAATTAAATTTATATCTTTCGCATTAGACTAACATTTTAATAAAATTTCATTTAAATAATTTTTAGAAAATATTTTTTTAATAAATTTTGAATACCTGTTCATTAGTAGAAATGAAGCAAAAGATTTAAAGTTCAATAAAAAACCCTTTCACATCCATTTCGCTACACTTGATATATTGATTTTGGGTTTGTTTTTGCCAACAGATCTCAGCGTCGGGCTCATCAGTGTGCTGACAGACATCGTGTGGCGGATAACTGTGACTTGGCACGCTGGCCATGTTGCTTGCAAGCTCATCCGGTTTTCGCAGGTACAGTTCTAGAGAGCAAAGTGATTGCTACTCGGCGAGTTCGATCAGAGATGCGCGCAAAAACAAGATTGCGAGCGGCAACTTTGCAGATTTTTTTTTGCCTTGAGACTGATTAAAAGATTAAAACTCGTTCAACGAGGAAAACGTGTTACTTGCAGATAAATTGAATCGTACGTCGCGCGTCCTTGTCCTGGCTAAATAAGATTAATTGCTGCCAAGAGCAGCAGCGATCAAGAAATTTTTATATAATCTCGCATATTGCATTAGTATGCGCTAGAGGGATGGAAAAACGAGTTAACCTAATTGATAAAATGACATAAAATAATTAAAAAAAAAAAAAAAATAAATGAAAAATCAACCTTTTCACCCAAGCTTATAGAATAAGAAACATTTAGCTTTTTTTACCATTTAAATTATATTTTTTCACCTTATCGACTTATTTTATGGGATAAAAACAGGGCATTTAACATGAAGTTTCCTAAATTTTTGAGTATTATGAATGAACTATTAAGGGAGTTAATTCTGGCGCACCGTTTGCGCCTCTCTAAAATCGAACACACTCTCTCTGTAATGCCAAGCATGTTTTCCGACAGCTGTTGTTGACACTGCAATTATACGACTGTCCACAGGCCATGGTCACATACTCGTCTACCTACGTTCTGGTCGCACTCAGCATAGACCGTTACGACGCCATTACACACCCAATGAACTTCTCCGGCAGCTGTATGTAAAATTGCCATTTCTGCCCCATTGTTTTGGTCCCTTTGACTTTGGTAATAGCAGCCCTAATAGCATACTTTTCCGCAGACAAAGAAAATACACTCACCCGGAACTGATGTTTCCCAGATGTTGCTCATTTTTCTTACTTTTTTCAAATAAATTTGGGGTGAAAATTGTATAAAATTACTTACTTTAATTTGAAAATTTGATAATTGCGATTAAATTTTCCTTGAAGTCTAAAAAGTATTATCAAAATTATTGTTAATTTAAACTGTTTTATCAACAATATAAGCATATTTAATATTTTTGTGAGAAGTTTAAAAAATTTAATCGAAAGAAAAGCATTAAATTTTGACAAATTGTGTAGATCCTAATGAATTTCAAATAACTTTTTTATTTTGATAATTCGCTCAATTTAATTGAGTGCCTGCCGTTTTTGAATATGCAACACGTTGAGCACCCACGTAACACCGGTTGCCTAATTCACGCTTCTTTTACAGAAATACTAACATCTGCGTTATATCTTTAATTCTGTTCAGGGCAACGATCGAGGACACTGGTTGCAGTGGCGTGGTTGCTCAGCGCCTTTTTTTCCATACCTCTGCTAATACTTTACGAGGAGAAGGAGATTCAAGGTAAGAAAAAGCTTCGGCCGACACTCAGTAATCCTCTGCGGAGGAGCGACCAATGCGTGAAAATCCTCAAAGCCACTATTGGCAAACGGACTTGTGGCGTGGAGAAAAATAACATCTTGAGCCCTCGGTGCCATTGGGAACAGACAGTCATGTCAGGCTTAATAATACGTCTAATCTCTTTGCTTTTAAGATTTGGATTCGGTAAAAAAGAAGAGTTAATCATGTAATCAATAAACCTATAAAAGCATACCAAGCTCTCATTTCTTTTTTTAGCATGAAATATTGAAAATAACATGGATACGCTGTGAAAAATAGACGATTAGAAATTCCGCGGGTGTCTTCAGAAATTTTATGAGCGTTGCAATTTGTTAATGCAATACCGAATAGAATAATAAATTTTATCCTAAATCTTAAATACGACATAAGTAGCAAAAATGAATTACTAAAAACTTCAAATACAAAAGTCAATTTTTCAAACATTCAGATTAAATTTTGGTAGCTTTGAACAAATTAAATAGCAGAAAAGATGCGATTCGAATACGTCCAGTTTTCAACATAATACTCAATTTGTTTCATATTTTCAATTTGATCAAACGGTAAAAATGCTCAAAATAATTTTCCAAAATTTTCTTGATCAATGCAAGTTTTATTACATATTTTAGAGAACTCATTTGGAACGCCCTATTTACTTCTTCATTTGCAAGAGTAGGAAAGAATACTCGAAAAGTCAGAATTACTTACAGAAAACTTTTTTAATTTCTCTCAAGAACATCTGCCGGCCAATTGTGTGTTTGCATTTCCTGCTCTTCTTCTTTTATGCAAGAAATCATTAAGTACTCCAACGGGATGAAGATTTGAATCGATATACATATTTACGGAAAACGACAAAGAAATCAGGGGTGGCGAAATCCTCCAATCTCGGAAAATCACATTTGGCCTTTCCAGAGACAGACATCAGGGCTGTCTGTTCATTCCGCAAAAAATTGCTTTCAATTTGCGACGATCAATGCGGGGCCATTTGTGGCGGGACGGGTGACGGATGGACGATTGACCTTTTGCGTGATCCTGCTGCGTGGGGGCAGAAGGGTCGCGAGCATTGTTCCAGCGTGATTAATTGCGGCGAACTATATTATTATTATTCGGTATAATGTGGAGTCGATAGAGCGTGTCTGCGTTGACGGACGAATTTTCGCAAACGGTCTCTGCTCGACCGCTGAACATGTTTGCTCTTCATATCTGCACGGGCTCAAATATGGCACACTCATTAAGCAGGTGTTTACACATGAGCGTGCTTATGCCGTGCACACGTGAATTATGAACGACGTAGGCAGCTCGTGTGGCACTGGTTTCGTTTTACCTGCCGGGCAGGAAATAAAAACGAGAGCCACCGTTCGATGCCCAACCGTACACTTAATTAAAGGTCACAATTAATGCATTCGACTAAATCTATCACGGATGCGTTGATGCGAAAATGTTTCATTTTATTCCAATTGTAGTAAAAAGTTTTAATTAGAGAACTCTGGCTTATTAATAAGTTAAAACTGGAATTTTCATTATGTTTCACGTAGATGAAACAAATAAAAAAGTATCTAGGGTTGATTTTTAGTGAAAACCTGAATATTACATGATTTTTGCTAATTGGTTTAGTAAAAATACCCTTTAGTTTTTTTAATTAGCTCATTCTTTAGGGTGCCTAGAATGTTCTTAAACCATGAAAATAGAATTTTGCATATCCATAAATTAAAATTATCCAATAACACGCCAAAAATATTCCATTTTGATCTACTTTAATTCATTAATCTCTCTGATTTTTGCGCACAGGTCAGATGCAGTGTTGGATTGAATTCGAGCACCCGTGGCAATGGCAGGTGTACATGGTGGTCATTTCCGTGTCGCTTTTCTTCATTCCAGCACTGATCATCACGTTTTGCTACGCGGTGATCGTCATCACAATTTGGTCCAAAAGCAAAATGCTCACCGGTAAGAAGAAGCGACTCAATCGCAACGGCAACCACCGTGGTATGTACAAATCAAGTTTTGCATTTTTATGCGACCCCTTAAAAAACTATAGAAATTATACTGCAAATTTTTGGAATTGATAAACAAGTAAATTTAATTATATAATTAAGATTATGTAACAATTAATTATTGTAATAAATTAAATATAAATTGAATGATTTGAATTCATTTAGTGCTAATTTTAACTTTTATATCAGACGTATCGCTGTTGATCCCTATAATTTGCTTCAAATCTTAAGTTTGATTGTGCATTTTGATATAACAAAGTAGTTTAAAGCCTTTTTAATGTTTCATAGACATAGCGTTAATCTAAAGTAGCATCAAACTCTGAAGATAAAACCTGTTCTGTTTCCATGAAGGTTCAAGTTCTCGCAGCAGGGATGACGTAGATAGCAGGAGGGCAAGCTCCAGAGGCATCATCCCTCGCGCCAAAATCAAAACAGTCAAGATGACGTTCATCATAGTTTTCGGTACGTGATATATACCTATTGTTTGTTATACCTGGAACGACTAAAATTAGCCTCGGCGCAAAGAGCGTCTTACGAAAAGCTGACTAAATTACGTTACTTGAAGGTGTTCATGGGATTACTGCCTCTCCTCTTGGCTTGTTTCTCGGTTCCTTACGCAAATATGAGTGGATCGATTGCAGCGTCAATGCTAACAAGTTGAAACATCCAGCCTCTAGTTAAAATTTAATTAACCGCGTATTTATTGATTTGCGGAAACATCCAGATAAACTCATAGAAAACATTTCATTTAAAGCGCCAACGCTTATCCAATTAAAACAACAAGCAGGGCTTCTCAGTATGGGATTTCCAAAGTTCACAAGCAACGCAATCAAATAAAATAATTTATAAAATTTATTTACAAAATTTATAGTTGCTTTCGAGTGAAAATAGGCATCAAAGATAAGTTTGAAGCTTATTGCTAGTATAAAAAGCGGGGTCATTAAAACAACAAGAGAATTTTGTAAACTTGTCTTGTAATGAAATTCTGATTGATTAATAACACGAATCAAATAATTAACTTTTAATAATAACAATTGGGGAAAAGTCATGATTTTGTTTTATAGGCAACTTGTTCAGTCTCTTAAAATCAAATCAAACAATTGATTTATTGTAATCATTACATTTTACACGCTAGAATCAAAACTCCTTTAAATGGGTCATAAATTTTTACCACGCAATGTTTAAAATTAAAAGAATATGATTATTTACTTTTTATCAAAACCAACGATTATTTTAGTTTTCTTCTTCTAAGATTTCAAATAAATTTCAATTTGATTATTTTTAAGAGATTTCTTATATTTTGTTTTGCGCTTGAATTTTCAGTGTTCATCTTGTGCTGGAGCCCGTACATGGTATTTGACCTACTGCAGGTGTTCGGCCACGTGCCCAACACACAGACCAACGTCGCGGTGGCCACGTTCATCCAGTCACTGGCTACGCTGAACTCGGCTGCCAACCCGCTCATTTATTGCTTCTTCTCCACGCCAATTTGTCGTACTCTAAGGTAAATATAGCAACATTATATTTGAAAAAATTACTTTCATCCAGTAGAAAACTCCATTATTCAAACGCTTTCTGCTTTTCCTCATTCCAGAAACACGTTTATTGTGTTCTTTAATACGCTTTTCTTTGCCTGAGACGGCAACTGTTTTATCTTAATATAAACAGATAAGTCAGTAGCAGCTACAGTACTTTCAGCAGCTTTGATATATATTAAAAGTTTCTCTAATCATCCCCCTTTGAAGAGGAAGAGAGATCTTCATTTTTCCATTTGAGTAGTAAATGGAAGTAAAGAAGAATAATTATTATTACTTCTTAGAATTTTTGATTTTAAAACAATGAGCATTTTCTTTAAAATTAATTGCATTTTCCATTGCGTCAGATGTTTATTTTCATTTATATTCAAATAAAAATATTCAAAATGACACTGAGACTATTTTGTATTGAAACAAAGTCATTTTTATATCATTGCCGGTTCTCAATACATTATAAATTCATTTTTGGGAAAATGGACGAAGTTAAATGTTTCTTGGGCAACGATCATTTAGAAGAAGTTAAACTTTTCTCACCTCGTAACTTCAAATATACAAATTTTTTGGATCGTGAAACTTTTTAAGTTGAAAATACAATGAAATTGAAGCTTGAAAATGTAATATTGTTCAGAATTACAACTGAACGCAATTTGATATGCACGAATTCACAATTGTGTGGAGTTTATTCAAGTCCGCGCTCGGTGTGTGAAAATAAAGTGCATTCATCCGCATTCCGGTGCGAGTGAAATTGAGTGTACACGCGAGCGGTTTGCGAGAAAATCAGCCTTGAACTCGAGGAATGCATTGAACGGCCTGTGAGTGAGTGCATCTGGCTGCAAAGTCGTTAAAATCGCCGTCTCATTTATTACCATGTTCGTCGCCGCGTTTATTGACGGGTGAACGATCCGGCAAAATGCGGGCCGAGGCCGCGCAATCTTGTGCACAAACGCACCAAAGTGGCGTAGAGCGCAGAAAAAGAAATGAGAATTGGCAGAATGGGTAGGCAAATCAGCAGATTTCTCAAGTGGCTTGACTTCAAAGTAGGCATGAGTGCGTCTGGGGAAATGATGATTGTATCGAGAGCGCGGCTCCGATACGCAGTCAAGAGAGAGATACTTTTGTGTTCGAAAGTAAACAAAAAGAAAGAAACGCGACAAGGCCGGTGATCTTTCGAGAGGGCTCCGACGGAAGGGTTGTTTCGATAAATCTGCTCCCAGGGAGAGCCAATTTTTCTGCCAGCACTTGTGTTATACAACAAGGCGCTGCAAATCGGTGCCAAGAATTCTCTCTGGAATGAGACGTGCCACCCTTACTTTTATTGTAACGAGAACAGAGAAGGAAAAAAAATTAATAGTAAAAAGAGTTTTCCTTGTAAGGTTGAATTGAATTCAACGTAATGATATTTGTTAAGAGAGTTTATTCGTATATCCAATAAAAATAGAAATTCTAATTAAGAGAGGAGAGTGGGTTTGTTATATCATGTTTTTATACAAAATGTTATATAAGATCATGAATTGTGAACAACACTGGCAAACAACTTTCTAAAAATCGCTTGGTAAATGAATGTGGATGGGAAAAATAGGTGGTCACCTTTTTGTCGGAAATGAACTAAAATGTGTTTATAAAGACAAAATATAATTATTTTTATGTAAATATTCACTATTTAGATTAGAATCATCTAAAATCACCCATTTCAGTAATTAAAAACTTATTCCCATCCAAAACCACCTATTTTGAGATCCTTTACAATCATCAATTTGTATTCTATAATTTCACGTAAAATCAACTTAAGTTTATAAAAATTGCCTATATTTAAAATATAAAACACCCAATTTGATGTCAATAAATTTTGACCTATTTTTCGCAAATTTGAATTTTTCACCAGAAATATCACCTCTTTGCCACTTATTTCAGCTTAAAAAATCACCTAATTAGGCGCCTATTTCATCCACGAAAATCTGAAATACACTAGATTTTACAATTTAATTAAAAGGCTTTGAAAAAATAATGTTTAATTATTTATCATAATAGGTTTTTGGAGGCACATTTTAACACAAAGTATTCTCTTGCTGAGCCATTTCTCATAAATTCCATTGAATTATCTACTATTGCAAATCTACTCAGAAGGCCAAGAATGCCAAGATCAAATAAAAAAACCACGTTCCCTCAAAGACGGTCTTTGATTCAATCAGAGAAATTGCCAATCTGCAAACACGGCCCATAAAAATCGGTCTTCCCCCATAAAAGTGTGTTCTACAAAATTGGGCCAAAATGGCGCGACACGGTCTTTTAATCACGCGCAATTAATCAATGGAATGCTCCAGTTTAAATGAGAGGACGGGGAGCGCGTGCAAGAGAGTGAGAGAGTTAATTCCGCACGGGAGTAATCGACTTTTAATGTGTATTTATTGGACAGGGCGCGCGCGCGTAATGCCGAACGGAAGGGACATTACGGGGGCAGTCGAGCGAAGCGTCTCTCTCGCGAACGCAGACGAGAATATTACCGAGTGAGAGAGAGAGAGAGAGAAAGACGACGAGACGTTTCATCTTTTATTGAATGTGAAAGGTCCATTGTGCGAGACATAAAGCGTCCGTCTCTCTTTCTCTCTGCTCTTCCGGTCAATTTTTACGATCTTGTTTTCTATTCAGCTCCTCTCAGCGAGAATCCATCTCGCGCAGGCAGGAGTGTATATTTTTACGCTGAACGATTCCGAGCGGCCGTAAAATTTCATCCATTTCGCCGCTGCCCTCGCTGTTATTCCTTTATTCACTGCTTTTTCTGGCCACTCGCCTACTGATGAGGCTCAGCGTTGGAATATAATATCGATAATATGGTTTGAATAAAAGAGCCGGATTTGTGAAAAAATTTTCCTGTTGCTGAATTCGTTTTGAAGATGGCTCAAATAAATTCAATCGTTTATTTTGATAGATAAGAAGTTAAAAACATTCTGAGAATTTTAGAAATTTTACCTTAAATAAATGATATCTTTCTAGTATAACCCAAACCAGGCATAATTATTATCATTTTTTGTTGACATTCAACTTCAATGATTGAATGGATTCCAAAAACAACTCCCTATATTAAATGTCAAAATTCAGAGAAAAAATCAAAGTTGAGTTTCGTTTTAGAAAATTAAAATGTTAAAAATTTTCGTAATAAACATGCGCTTTTGAATGCAAAATTTAAGAGTTACTGATAAAATTCTAAAACAAAATTGAGATTTAGAAATAAAAACACATCTTAATTGTTACGCTAAGATCTATAAATTTCATCATTTAATGTCACGATGACGCAATTTGATTTTGGTCTATGAAATGAGAATATCGAACGCACCTGCTGTTTGATCAGTGTGATTGCAAGTTGATCCAACGACAGATGTTTGCTGACGCTTCGGGTGTCCAGAAACTCGGCCAACTGTAACAATCAATAATAAATAAGTACACCGCACACAAACTGTGCCTGGCAGGAGAGCGTGTGATAAGCGGCTGTTGCAAATTATACGGGAGACTCTCCAGAGAGCAGAGAAATTACAACGTCATACTTTGCGGATAAAGCACTTGAAGAGCGAAAAAAGTTGCGTGTTCATCGCGAGAAAAAGAGCGAGAAATGAGACGAGCGCGTTTTACTGCTGCTATTCGTTTCCGCTTTCTCCGTGGGTTGGATATGGAGTTGCTACTTTTTATTCAATTGCCACGCTCAAGAAAGAGCAAATTGCACCACCCTAGGGCTCCTAAAAGAGATGGAGTGACCTCAGGGCGATATCAAATTTAACCCTCGCGAAAACACTTCCTGAATTACAATGTGGATAAAATTGCTCTATTGTGCCACATACGAGTTGCACTCACGGTCAATTTTAAGGAAGTACAGTGAATTTAAAAGTAATATAATAATACAAATTTGGTTTTTTTAAATGTGATATGTACCAGTAGAAAAATTTTATTTAAAAATCTTTAGTTCAAATCGGAAGTGAATTCTTTTGTTGAATATAGATCCAGTCGATCCAGAGTGTATTGATTTGTTGAAAACATATAGGGGAAAATTTTGAGAAAATACCTCAGCCATTTTTTTATCTTGTGATTACAATCGTTATTAAAAATGCATTGCAGTGCAGAGTTTATATAAAATAAAAATTATTTCTTAACTTTAGTAAAATTAATAAAATGAAATAAAATAAAATTTTTACAAAATAAAGATAATAAAAACAAAAAGAAATAAAATTAAAATTATGTAATTTAAATTTTCCAACACAAACTATGGAATTTGGTTTTAAATTATTTAAAAAAAAAAAAAATACAAATTTATAATAATTTTAAATTAATTTTTAGTTTAGTTTTTCTGTATTTCTACATTCATTTGTTAAAATCGTATAAAATGGTTTTGTCTCAAACAATGAGAAAATCTAAATCTATAATGAGATATGAATGAAATGTCGATATTGGAAAAAGCATAGAATTTCTTCTTTACTTTAATGCTCACATCGAATGTAATCAAATTTACCAACAGGAAAGAGCAATATAATGCCCTATTGCAAGTTCTCGATATTATTGCAATAAAATTGCACTCAATCAGTAGCACGTGCTCTAGAGACTTCACCTGGGGGGTTAGCTTGCAATACTGAGAAAGTGGAATTTTCTCTTAATTACCCCGTTCGTCGCTTCCAGCAAATATTATACATTGGAGAACAACGCTTGCGCTCCGCCGCTTAATTAAAACCCACCGAGCCAATTTGAGCGACATCAAATTTGTTTTGCCGGGGGGCGACATCGAGCATACCAGAAAACTTCCTGGAGATCATCCGTGTCTAATAAGGTTACGCAAATTAGTACCAAAGCGATTCGCAACCTGCCGATTTTTATTCCTCGTCCAAAGTAACGCGACGTAATTAATTAAAAATGAGTGACAGCAAGAGAGGAAGTGCTCTATGCGAAATCTCGCGTGGGCGTTGCTAACTTCTCAAAAGCCTCTCAGCTCGCTAAAATCCGTATACGCCGTCTCAATTAATGTCAAATTATTAAGACTTAATGAGGCTCACACGGAGCGTGCATAACAATATGCGGCACCAATTCAAGCTGAAAATGTTGCAACTCAGCCGGAGCGAAATTACTCAACTCTTAATACCTGCCAAGTGTGTTCGTCTTTCATAATATTATAAGTTGTTCCACAACATGTTTATACATAAACGTTTTCTAATCAATCTTTTCCGCATGATCGAAATCCAGTCCTCTAGAACGATTGAGCCCGGCTGAAAATAGCTCTAAACGCCCGAACGGATCCACACAATACGTGGAGAAAGTGATTCAATCGCAAACTTACGTCAGAAGAATCAACCCACATACTTAATTTGACGAATAATCTTTTATTCCCCTTCTTTGTACCGCCTGAATCTTTCAAATCGTGTCACAATATTTAAGAATAAAATCAATAAATTCCATGAAAAATATTTTCAAAGCTGCTCTCAGTCTATAGATGGCCCTGCACTGATATTTTTACTGATAAAATTTCAATCGAAATCGGCCCAAAATTAAAGGAACCACTAATTTAACTTTTTTTGTTGAAATATATCTATAGAAATTTTTTAATCACCCAAAGTTTGATAAAAAAAATTAAAACAAAATAAGTTGTCAAAACAGTTCTACGTTTTTTAAACTCCATTAATTAAAAAGAATTCTCTGAAACATCACAAATATCGCATTTTTATCACCCAAAAACTGCTGAAATTATCAATTTTTATGATAACATTTCATTCATTATTATTTAAATATTTTCACCTAAAATCAACAAAATTTTCATATATTTAAAAAACACTATATTAAAAAAAATCACCCACTTTTCAAAATTTATGTTAGTATAATAAAATGAAACAAGCATACAAAATAATCAATCATCTGAATTTTTCACACAAGCATCAGAGCATCACACAAGTTTATCATTTATCATTAATTCTGCATCAAATCATTCATTAATGTTGATTGAAACTAACTTTTGCTTTTCCGTGCTGCATCAGCTCTTTCGCATCCGATTCGGCCAATTTTTTTAGGCTTCGGCAAAAAGAGATGAGACCAAACAGCACCTGTGTTTAGGTACCTCTTCTTAGTTCTCTCTCCAACTCTGATGTGTTTCTCTGCCTAATTTATCGCACAAGTTTTTCCACTGTTTCATTTTTACGGTGCTCGCCTCCGTCTCTCCTCTTTTCCATGCTCGTTCTCGCGCACAAGTTTTTAAGTTTATGTGTGCCCTCGTTTTTCACTGCGTTTTTTCTCCGTAGAACTTCTGGAAATTAGATTAGCAAAGCTTAAAATTGCAGAAAGCTGGGGTTTTAAAGTGGCTCTCGACTGCTGTTATTTGCCTTGCTGCTGAGCTTTGTATTATTTGTGTCCACTTTTTGTGCTTGCTCCATCCCTCAGTTTTTACTGCCCTGCTGCTCTCATCGGCAAATAGACCGAGGTCAAAATTTTATTGGTCGTTATAGATAATGGCTTGGCTACCCTCGTATACTTGTGGAGAGAGATAGTCGTTCACAATCAACTTTGCTCGTTTTGTGTGTAAAATGATGTTACTTGGCTACTCAGAATGTCCCTTTGTATACTTTCTAAATGTGAGCTCCAGTAGATAAAAAAAATCCGAAAGTTCCTCCATATTAAATAAAGTGGAAGTGACTGAAAATTTCACAAATTCAATAAAATGATTAGTTTTGAAATCTTTGCATAACAATTGGAAACTTTTTTTATAAAATGATTGGACGATGAATACATTTTTTCATTTAATTTTGTATAATAAGTTTTTATCAAAAAAATATATTTAAAAATATCCTTCTCGATTCTTATTTAATGTATTGAATTTTGATTTTCTTGAAGTTTTATCCTGAATATTTTAAGGACACCTAATTTGCATAGTCAAAAACAAATTTAAAAATTCCGAATAGTCTTTTATTAACCACAAAGCTATAATGTTTGTAAAAACTGGTACAAACTTAATTTGATTATGCCAAGAAGGGTTCCTCAAGAGCTTTAAAAAAAATCTTAATATATTCGAAGTTATAAATTTTGTATTTTTTGTTTCGTGTTTCAGGCGCGTTCCGCCCCTGAGTTGGCTCTCCATTTGTTTCCCTGACATGCAGAGGAGTCAGCAGGAGGCAAACAGTCGTTGTCTGCGTTACGCTGGCACCAACAGCACCACCATGACGGAGACGATGACCCACCTTTCAACTAGGAGGAATCTGCGGGTCAACGCCAACTACACCAACCTGTACAGACATCCCCCGCCGAGGGTGGCCGTCACCATAGTCTAAAGTAAGCAAATTTTTTCATCCATAAAAGTCTGAAGAGCTGCATTTTGACTTTCGTACAAACAAAAATTAGGTGCAAATCGGATATCAAGAAAATTGAAATATGTAACATGATTTTTTAGTTGATCGATATTTTTGCATTTATACAATTAAAAAGGGTCAAAATGTGTACCTTTTAAGTAATTCATCTTTGTAAAGGAAAAATAGTAAAATTATATAAAAAAAAATTGTCTGCTTCTAACTGTATAAAGATTTACTTGGCCAAAATGCTGTTTGATGTGCAGTGGCGATTTTGGAAGAAAAAAAGTATGTCTTTGCAATCAATGATCTCTGCCGATTTAAACAAACGTAAAAATCACAAATATCTTTTGGATGAATGTTTTACCAAAATAAATAATATAATATGCGTCAATCTTGGACGTTAAATCTATGTGGTGCTATATTGTTCATATTTCTGTTGTGTAACGGCACTTTTTTTTTTAAATTATAAATTGCACCTTAAAATGTTTATATCAAAAGGGGAGCACTGTCAGCTTATAAATTAAAAATATTCAAAATTTATGTATATCCTACATGTCAAATTGGTGTATATAAAAATAAACCAAACATCTTGATGTAAAAATGTATTGATGTTCTCTCAGATTTTAATAAGTGGTCATGTAATGAATACAACTGAAGCTGGTTGGTGGAAATAACAAAAATTTTAAATTAAAAATAATGTCTGTGTAAAAATGGAACAAAAAATTTGTTAAAAAAAATACTTAATAAACGGCTTGTGTGGAGGTTGGGATTTTTCTTTAAATTTCAATTCTTCTTAATCTTTATATACATGTTTAATGGATAATTGTAAAATATCTTCAATGGTTCCTGACTGTATTTATCTCATCTGAACTTTTCATTTTTCCTGTTGAAGAATTCTTCACGCTTTTTACTTCTGTCTACATGAAAGTACACAACATGTGATTTAAATTTCATTCACTTTAATTGGGTTGAATAAACACATGATATTATTCAAGCCGCACTATGTGAGTTTCCTTTTGACGCGGCCTCGGCCGCCGCCTGCTTTTTGTTCGCCCGCATTCTCAGAAAAGTCATGCCCGAAACCCACAACGAAGCCGAACAGACGGTGAATAAGTTAAAGCCGGTTATTATGTCGGCCAACGTTTTTGTGCTGTTGGTCAGCATCCCTGGAACAATTAAATGACGGTGAGAAAGAGCACAGCACATCAAAATATTATAGGCAGCCTAAATTAAATTAGTATGCAACCAGCGCGTCTTTGTCGTACCGCAGGCTGCATAACTTTGAAAGAACAAATATTATTTCAATTAAAATGTTTAGGAATATTATTCAATTAATAAAACTCTTTATAAACATAATAGAAACTTGATTTGAAAAAAATTTTAAAACTTATGTATACAGTTTGAAAGAAAGTGAAATAAAAATCGTTAAAATTTCTCAGTTTGACGTTTTCTACTTTTCGGCTAATTTAAAACAAATTTAAAATTACTTTTCAATTGGAATTTTTACATTTCTGACGATAAAAACCATAAATAAAACTTCAATGGCAAATTTAAAACGTTTATTTTTCATGAAAATAAAAAACTACCAACTTTTTTGTATTCTTTTTTTCTTTTTTTAGAAATTGCATGAAATATGTGGTCATAAAGAAGAATATGATTGTTTCTTAGTCCTTTAGCTAAGTTTGTTACAAAAAACTTTGATGACAGACGCATAGTTCAGATTATTTGGAAGTGATTCGTGATTCTCAACTCACCGACAAAAGGGCCGAAAATTATAAAAGCAATCGCCGTCTGTGCCATGAGCAGGCCGAGTGCGGCTGGCAGCCTGTCAACGGGCACGAAGGATGGGATAAGCAGAGGCGCGAACACGCTCCTAATACCCCTGCACATGCCGAACCACACGCCCAACACTAACACCAGGTTGTAGCTGCGGTAAATCATAATGACTGAAAGCAAAGTGGCCTCTCGTCAGCAAACAACAACTCACTTGCCTGCTGCGAGCAATAAGTTAATTTGATTGCTTTTCCTTACGTGCTCGGAACAACGACAGAAAGATGATGCTAAGAATGTAGAGCAAATTATCCGGCAGGTTCAACCCCAGGCCTATGTAGGGCGCGACAAACCTGAATTCCCGGAAACAATTTTTATTGTAATTAAAATGGTTGGATGCAATCAACAAAATTCTTGTGATAAATTTTGCGATCAAAATTAAATTACTTTTAGAATATTTTTTCTTATGATAACAGTGTTTTTTAAACCAAAATCTTCAAACAAAAATTCATCTTAATAAACCAAAAATTGAAAACTTTCCCTGATCATTAATTTTTGCTTATAATCGAGATCATTTTTATAAGAAAATATAGTTTTTCGCGATCTTGTCCCGTCTTCAATCAAAAAGTTAAACTGTTTTTTCACCTGAAAATGATGTCAACGGCGGCCACTACAGACTGGTAGCCGGCGATTTGCTGGATTGTGTAGCCGTGGATTTCCAGCATCAGGTACGGAATCAGCAGCATGAAATTTGTTTCAATTACGGCGAAAAACGACATGCTGGACGAGGCCAGGGCAAAGGGTATAATTTTAAAGAGTCGCAAATCAAAAAAGTCCACGATTTTGATCCAAAAACTCTTTTGTTTTTTTGTCGTAATCTGAAATTATGTAGAAAATTTATTCAAAAAATATAAAAATAAAATATTTAGTATTAATTGGGAAATACTTAAAATGAAAACATTATTTAATTTAAAATATTGCATTAATTTACCTTTGATTGGTTTAGTAAGTTGTTAGCTGAGGGAGATTCAGTTTCTATTTTGTAATTTGCTGGTTTCAAATCCTCATCCTCGTCTATTTCAGAAAGCTTATCATGTCTAATGAGAGGGAGAAAAATTGAAATTTAAACAAATAGATATACTTTTTAAATAATATACATATCTAAAAAAAACAAAAATAAAGTTTTTTTTCTTCGAAAATTCATAAAAAAATTAGCTCAATTTTACGGGGAACGCACTGTGGTTCTGAGCATGAGACGAGCGTGTAGCCAACATCGACGGAGTTGGTGGACGCCGTCCTTTTTCTGCCGGCCGCCACCGCAGCCGCAGCGGCCGCACTGTGGTCTTCAATTGGAGGGCTTCCCTCAGCGGGCACCATGTGCCAACGAACGGGTTGAAGGAGCAAAGCCGCTGGAACGCAGTGCAACACGAGAGCGGCCACGATGAGCATCGTGCCCTCGGAAGAGTAATTTTGCAACAACGAGCTCAGCACCAGCGGCATGAAGACGGTGCCGATGCCGCCGATGGCCATCGCCAGGCCCATGCCTCGGCTGCGTTGCTTTATGAAATACGAGTTGATGCTGAACAGGCTTGCAGGGCTGAGGAAGGCGAGACCACTGCCTGAGTAATCAAATAAATAAGTTTAAAACAAAATTTGTTTTTAATATATTCAGTAAAAATTTCAATATGCAGAAATAAAAAGTTTTGAAGAAAAAAAAACATTTATAATTTAATTCACGTACGAGGAAAATTTTCAAATTTCTTATTCAAACTTAAGAGAAAACATAAATAATCGAAACTTATTACCCAAAAAATAGATTTTTGTAAAATAAACGTCATTGTAAAATTTGATCTTCTTAGAAAATTACAATGATGTAAATTAAAAATGAATTCAATTATCTACTATCTTGATTACTGAGAATTTAAAGCTATATCCAGCTCAATAAAATAAATTTTTGGTGTATTCTTTGATATTGTTAAAAAGGAACATTGATTAATTGCAGTATAAAGATTATAAGAACGGAAAATACCAAACACGACGCCAATTGAGATTATGAAAAAGTAGTAAGTGTCCGCCAAAGATGAGAGAAGGGCGCCGGAGAAAAGCAGGAAAGAGCCAAAGAGCGCCACTTCTCTGCAGGAAAATCTCTTCAAAACGGGGCCGGAGAGCAATCCTAAATTTTTAATTGACCAAATATGAACGTTTCCTGTAAAGTTTATTTCACATTTTTACCAACACCATTGCAAACGGCTGCGTTGATATTCATCATGACAGTTACATCGGCTGCAGTCATACCGATTGCGTCAAACTTGGATGAAAAAATGAGTGAGAAATTGTGCACAACCGAAACCAGAAAAACCTGTTTTAAAATATTAGATAAAATAATATAAATTAAAAAGAAATTTAAACTTGCATGGCATATTCCGTAGGCAAGCGCAACTGCCCATCCCCAACCACCTTCAGGTGCCACCAATGGTATTCCCAGGGCGGAGGCCCTTTTCGAGAAGTACTTGCCATGCGTCCGCGCCGTCATCACTCGGTCGCTCTTTGCCCTTCGAAACGCTAATAAAGTGGTTCAGCGGCATGTTTTTAGCCGATTTACGGTGCAGGCAGATGAAGCGCCGGAGGGAATTAAGAGCGCGCGCCTCGTCATACTTTTATGGCCCTAGCTTGTGTCGAGATAAAAAGGAAAAAAAATATCGCACATTTTTATAGTTTAATTTGCACCCAGCGTTGAGAAATGTGTGTTAATATTGCAGTTAATTGGTGTGTCGTAAAATTGTGTGAGATCATATTGTGAAAATTTCATAGTGGGCATCGAGAATCTTTGAAATTTACTAAGTAAATAAAAATTTAGTACCTTATTAGCAGTTGTGTATGCTCTGCACACTGCCGAGCCAGAGCAAGTGCATCGAAGTATTTTATCACTCCTTTGTAAGAAATGTTTAGTTAGGAACTATGCATATTGGCAAGTATTACGCGCACTTTGCTCACCAACATTCATGCCTAAAATGGGTATAGCGCTTGGTAAAATAATACTGATGCAAGCGCCGGCTGCTTCGCTCTTATCAGTATGCAAACAAAGACACACTAAAATATAACCGGAAAAAATCCCCATTCTATTAATATCAATATTTTACGATGGAAATATAATTCCTAATTTAATATTAATTCAAATTTCATTTTAATTTGTATATTATTAAATTAAATTTTATTAAAATACAATGACCTTATCAGCAACTTCATATTTTAGTTTAAAATCAACAGGTAACTTTTTAATCAGACTTAATCCGCACTTGCTCGCTCTCGCTGCGCTTTCGAGATGGCCTCGTCCAACCCCTTGATCAGTGCACTTTGCTCATTGTAGAGCCCAGTTTTGAGCAACGCTTCTCGTTGCTCCTGCAATTTTCTCACATCGACGACTTCCCTTTGGAGAGGAGTTTGTTTCATTTGAAGCAGCTCCAGTCTCATCTTCTCCAGGGAGTCTTTCTCTTTCATCAGACGAGCCTTTTCTTGGTCAGCAAAGAATGGTTCCCTAAATTGAAAAGTTATAAGAAATTTCAACCCCTTTTGATGAATTACCGATTGATGTTGGTGAGGTTTGATTCTTTGACCTCGTTGACTTTGCGCTGACTCTTGACCCACTCTTTTGTGATCTTGGCCTTTTCCTCCTGCGCTCTTTTCAGATTTTGCTCCATCTCACGCTGGGTAAAAAAGAGCTACAGATTTTTGTCTTTGAATAATATTGTAAGTGCCTCCTCACCAACTTCTCCTTGAGCTCTAAAATCTCGGCAGATTCACTGCTCCTTTGAATTTTCTGCAACTTTGAGCATTCGTTCTCCAAGAGATCCACCTTTTCCTGAAGCTTCTTGTTTTGGTATGCCAAGATGGAGAGCTAATATTTAGGAAATTAGTTTAAATAAAATTAGACTATTTCGCTAATACTTTTGACCCAGAATCTTGAACCTGGCTTCGAAATCTTTGATTCTGCTCTTCAAAATTCACCTCCATTTGCTTCTTGTAGATTTTCAGCTGAATACACATATAAGTGAAATGAACTCTAAAATTTTCACATTATTATCTACCTTTTCCTGCTCCTTGTCCAATTCCTTGTCTTTCAACTTCAACTTGGCAATTTCTTCCTCCAGAGTGGCTGACAATTCTTTGGTCTTCTCAAGGGCTTTAATTTTTTCATATTCAAGCTCTCTCTGTCGTTCATTCAAGCGATCCTCCCATGCACGAGTCAATTCTTCCTTGTTGGCGTTCATCTAACAAATCAGGAAGCGATCAAATTAAAAAGTTATTTAAAACTCAAACACAAACCTCTGCAGTGAACAACATCTTCTGTTTCAGTTTCCAGTCTTCAAGCTCTTCGACAACTTTCGTCATCCTTTCAGCATCACTCATCAATGGAACACTACTTATTTCTGAAAAATTTATTAATTAGAAAAATATTTCCATCTAAATTAATCATCTGCACCTTCTCTAGCTCTGTAAGTGTTGACTTTTTCAACTCGATCCCTCTTCACTGGAGGTTCAGGTCCATTTTCATGTCTAGCTTTTGTCGGCTCTTGTTCTATTTCCTCAACTTCGAAGTTCTTGCTGAATTCACTTGTCATCTCAATTTCCATGCTGTCGTCCAAAGGCAAGGGAGCCTCGGAAGTAAATGCTGGGGATGGCGAAACCAAAACCGTCTCTTTCTTTGCCTCTTTGACGAATTCATGCTCCTCCAAGGGGAACACAACAAAAGTCACAGTCACTTTTGGCTGAATGTCAATGTCCTGGCTGGAGAAAACTATTTCTGTTGTCAGAGGAACTCCGAGTTCCAAAACAAGGAAGTGCTTTGCTTGAGCGACGACTGCATCTTCATGCATGAGGGAAACGTCAACTGAAGGGTTTTCATTGAGGTACTCAACAAGGGTGGACGTCTTGCTGAAAACGTCAAAGACGAAAGTCTTGTTGAGCGCAAACGATGGATCAAAAACGTTGGTTTCAAGTGTTTGCTTCAGCAGTTGGAGCTGCACCTTTGCTGAGGCAGACTTGGCAAGCTGAAAAAAATTGTCATTTTAACTGAAATACTTGACAAAATTAAAAATTCATACAGATGAGAGGTTCGAAGCAGCCAGAATTGTGCAGCTGAACTGAAATCTCTCCTTGCAGAATCTCTCACTACCGATGTATGTGATTCCATTTTTCAGGAGGAGCTCTGTTGGTTGTCCACTCAATTCCTCAACTTTTCTATCCAAAGGCATGACCTGGAAGAATGGATTTATTAGAATGGAAAATTTCCAATGATATCAATTACTTTTGGCTCCACTTTTTTGGGTTTACTCGAGTCGTCCAGAGAGACGGATAGCAAAAGTTGAGGGGAAGTTTGTGACGGACCACTGCTTCCAAGCAAACGACGCCAACCACTCTGTAAATAATCAAATTATTTAATTTTTTAAAAACTACATTGCTTCTTTTAATTACCTGGGAAGAGTCTGTCACGGACTTGAGGTTGATGACGATGTAGCCGATGCTCTTGGAATCGCCACCAGAAGTGACGCTGAAGCAATCGAGAATCAGAGCTTTCGAGGGCCTAATTCTGCAGTTAATTTTTAAGTTATAAATCATAGGCAATTATGGTTTAAAACAGTCAACCTTTTAAAGTTCCTCAGGCTCATCTTCCAGACCAACTCTTCGCCAATTTCCAATCTTGGTCCATTATTCGAGGAAAGTGGGACTGGGTCTGTTTTCAAACTAACTCCGTCCAGTTTGCCTTGCACAACTAAGAAAGATTTGTGGTCGAGCAGATGGAAGTTTGTTCCTAAGGTTAAATTTTAAATTATTTTCAATTGGTTAAGAGTAAAATTCTTGGGCAATACTAGGGCAGGTCGGCAGTACTGACTTTTAATTTTTCTTTAATTTAACATGTCCTAAGGATGAACAGACTTTGCGGAACTTTGGAAACTTTGCGGAAATTGAAAGGGAATTAAATAGCATTAAAATTAAAAGAAATTATACAGGATGACCTGCCCTATTTATATAATCCAAATTCTTGTTTAAAAATTTACTCATACAAACCTTCAATTATTTGAAGGACCAAGCGCACGACGCTGGTCATGACTGGATTTGATATGAATCCTCAAATCAGCTAATAATGTCTTCAAGGTCCGAGATCTTGAAAAGATTTGTTCAAAACTTCTCCACCGGCATCTGACAACAACAAAATCACGAATCACAATTTTCAAATTAAACAATTGTGGCTCACCTTAAACATTGTTGTGAATTCCGTAGATTTCGGCGAAAGGTTTGTTGTTGCCTCAGTAAAATTTAAGATCCGAAATATCCATAATTTAAAAGCTAAAAAAACAAATCAATCAAAAAAACGTTGTTGTTGCGCCGGTCGGATGTTCGCCAGATGAACTTTCAAACTTTCGCGCCGCGCTTCTGTTTACCACGACAAACAAAAGAAAGACGGAGTAAAAGCTGATTGCGTGAACGCGAGCATTGACGTCTTTAGGAATTAAACAAAAATGGTAAATTTCCCTCTAATCTTTTGATATTTCTTTCTAATAATCGTACCAAATTCTGGCCAAGAAAATTCCCCTTTCAACGAAATACTTTTTAGGCACTTTCATTCGCCATTTGCCAAAGAATTTCAGTTTTCAAACCATGGCCCTACCCCTCCATGTTATTAATGATACTCCCAAAGGCATGGTGACAACTTTTACACCCCAAGGAAATTTTCATCTAGTCTCTCCTCTAATTGATTTCTCATTTTTCAGTCAGCCTCTGACTTTCTGAAGGGCTTGCCATCGTACAATGAGAGCAATTTCACCAAATACCACAATGACGGTGGCATCAGGAGCAGTGCGAAGAGGCCCTCGGTGTACCTTCCCACTGTAGACCACCCCTCGGATCAAAGTATTTTAATAATTTTTGACCACTGCTTTACATTATATAATTAATGGTGAATAATTTTCAACAACACAGTCATCGTGACGGAAAAGACAAACATACTGCTTCGCTACCTACATCAGCAATGGGACAAAAAAGTAATTCGTATTTAATTTAATATTAATTTAGTTTAAATCAATCTCTGCATGAAATGAATCGTCCTCGGAACATTCTGATGTGTTACATTTCTTGTTGGCATTTCATTTTAAATTTATATAAAATTATGAAGTGGGTTAAAAACACCGGGACCCGGTGTGATGCTGGCGCCAGTATGTTATTTTCACCGGGAAAAAACGACCAATTATTGCAATGCCAAAACCGACTCTCCACTTCCGGTTGAGAATCGCAACCGGTACTGAAACACGGAACGATAAATACCAATAAATTTCACTATCATTGCAAGCGGCAGTAGTGTCGCGGTAACGCACCCGCTTCCAAAGCACAGGTTGGCGGGTTCAAATCCACGTCTAGTAATACTTTATTAATTTTTTTCAAGATTTCGAACTATACCGAAAATTTATATTCATGAAAATTCCATATTTTAATTCAAATTATGCATACATATTCCTTTTTTTTAATTTCACCAACGAGCATGCAGACGAAGTTGTAGGCACCCCACGATCCGGCAACTCGGAGTTGGGCAACTCGGAGTTGGGCAACCCCCAAGATTAATTTTTGCAGAAGCCGCGAGCGAGGGGTGGAGGCGCAGCGAGGTCGAGGACGTGGGGAAGGCCGTGCGCAGGGCGAGGACAAAAGGGCGGCTGTGTTCGTGGGGGGGCTCCGCAGGAGCCCCCCCACGATCCCCGCCCTTTTGTCCCGCCCGGAGCCGGCCTTCACCACGTTCTCGGGCGAGCGCGCCTCCAGCCCGAAGCTCGCAAACCCACAACGGAGTTGCCTACAAAAGGTGTTGTCTACGATCGGTGAAATGCGCGCACACGAAATTAAAGGGAAAAATTTATTGAAGAATTAATATTTTCAAATTAAAGCCCTTGAAACGTTTGCGGTTCTCAATGTTGAACGGTTATCGGTATTGCATTTTGGTTAAAAACCGCCTCTACTTTTTCCCGGTGTAAATAACATATTGACAAATTTTTTCCACACCGGATCCCGGTGTTTATAACATATTGACGTCATTTTCACACCGGGTCCCGGTGTTTTTAACCCCGTTCTAAAATTATCATCTTTCTTGTTTGATTTTATAAGAACTAAAATTTATATTTTTAACTTCAGAGCCATCACAAAAAGCGAGATCATCTAAATCTGGAGACAATTGACGAGGCTGGCTCCAGAAAGAGGCCAAGATTGGACAACGGAAGTGCCGGTTCTTCGAGCGCAAACCCGCCAGCTGCTGGCAATTCAAGCAACGACGCCCGGCAATAAATCTTCAAAAGCCTATGGTGTCAGTTCCAGAACATTGGGGACCACAATCGTTTGAGTTGCTTCGATATTATTACCAAAAACCCTCAACGCATCCTCCGCATTATTGAGCCTGGGCATTGTGGTCCTTTTGCAAAACAATCCGATTCTCTCTCCCCACACTTGAGGAATGTTGTTCGATCGCAACAACAAGTACGTTGAATTTGTTTTCTTATGTATCCGATTTGATCGTGCCAATGTGGTTGCATTTTCATGGTTTATCTCATAAAGCTGCATTTTGTTTTGTTTTGATTGAATTCAAAAATTAATTTCTAACCGACATAAATATAAAATTTCTTTTGGAGTTGCACAAAACGCATCGTTCTCCGATTAAATTGGAGAGGATTTTTAAATTTAATTGGTTCGGAAAAGTGAAATTGACGGGATTAATTATTTCCAGAGTCCAGCATATTGTTGATTCTGAATACTTTGTACGCATTACTAATAACTATTTATTGTAAATACATCAAATAATATGCCATCATAAAACTTGAAAATATGATTTTCTTTCAGAATCAAACTCCCAACAGATTAACGGCTACAATTTTTAAATTTATTCACGGTAATTGTCCAATGATGGTGCCGAGAGCCTCATACAGAAGCTCAGTTGTTGTTCCCACTTGGTAGGAATCCAGGGAAATCTCATCTCCGAGTAAATAAAGCTCATTATTTATGTCTGCCATCGAAGCTTTGATCTCGTCAACGGCTGTCCCGTTCTGATTAGCAGATATTTTATTTAACCATTTATAACGATTGCATCTTTGTAACTCACTTGGCCTTCTAAAATTGCATTCAAAAGGTTGTTGAACGCCACAACCTCATCACCAGACAAACTAAGCGCTGTTTCCTGGACCGAATTCACGTTATTTGCCTGGGCCACCAAATCACTTTGATTTTCCGGCAAATCTATAAAATTATACCTTAATTTGACTTCTTTTGGAAATTATTAAAGTTTTACTCGAGTAAGATGCTGAGGATAAGTTGGTTTCAGTTTGGTTCAAAAGCCGCAGGTGCTTCACAAGCTCCTTGCCTTGTAACTTTGCTTGATAAACCAGTATAGACGAGGCCTGATTGATTTGGATTTGTATGTTTTCTATGTCGGCAAATGTTATCTGTGTCAATGAATATTGTTTACACTAAAATTTCCACATCTAAATTGACGAAATTTACTTTAATGAAAGGCAAATTCTCCTGAATACTGGAAACGCCTGGTTGTACTTTGGTCCACAAAAGATCTTCGATGTCATTCATGACGTCGAGGTACTCCTGCGTACTTGCGCGGGCGTCCCACAACCTTGACAGGGCCACATCGACGTCTGCGTCCAGATCCCTCCTCCATTGCTTTTATCAGGCACTTTATGAGCTGAGCTTAGAAATTAGAAAGTAAATAATACCTGACCAAGGACTAAACCAAGGTTGAAAATGACACTTATCGCCAAAAGAACGCTTTTCATTTTTCTACTTCTTCTAAATGCGTCAAAAGAAATATTTATTGCCGCTCACTGGATGCCTTTTTAATCTTTGCTTGGTACAGGGAGGTGATAAGGCCTCCTCTGGACCTTGCGACTGATAAAAATTTTTAAAGTAAATTGAACGGGAAATATTTTCTTTTATTGTATATTCCGGTATATTTGACTTATTTGCAAACAAAATGTATTATTTTTATTGATTTTTTTGGTCGGCCAAATACACGTGAAGAGCTTTGCATATCAACTCAGCGGCTTTGGTTAGTTCTGCCTTCTCGTGATAGGCCACTGCTAATCTCATGCAGTTTGTTCTGTTTGCGGAAAAATATTTTCCTGGATGGGCAGTGGCACCAAAATTTTTCAAGCTAAAGTCGCAAAAATCAGACGCATCGATTCCACATGGCAATTCAAGCCAAACGTAGTATCCTCCCTCAGATTTGTGAAATTTGCAATTGGGTGGTAGATTCGTCGACAGAACTTCCATCATAGAAATTATTCGGTCCTATAATGCACGGTAAATTAAATCAATAAAATGATTTTTATTCATTTTAATCTCAAGAAAATAATAAAAATGCGCAAAATTTTATTAATAATAAAAAAGTAATTTAAATTGTAATTTTCAAAACTTTATATACTAGTTTTAATTTACCTTAAAAGTGTTTTTTAACAGTTCAAGGTGTTGCTTTTGTAACCCAAGCTCAATTATCGACGTAATGACTGCCGACATGAAATGGTTCACTGATCCACTGCTCCGCAAAATTCCCCTGAAATTTCGGTCAAAATTTTTTTTTTTATAATAACTTTTTTTAATATTACGATTTCTTCAGTCGTTCAACAAATCTGGGTGGTGCCTCGAGCCATCCCACCCTGACCCCAGGTGCGAGGATTTTGGAAAAAGTGCCATTGGAAATGACGTGGCCTCCGAACGATTGTACTTGGGGTCTGTCGTAAGCGAAAAGGCGTTTGGGTGGATTATCGTGCGCCAGCAAATTGTAAACGTCGTCACAAAGAACAAGCACTTCAAATTTTCTCGCAAGCTCAATTAATTGTGAACACCTCTCTGATAACAAACGTGGTCATTAAGTAATAAAATTAATTTTCGAGCTGTTGCGAAATAAATTCTATATACTTCGACTCAAGTTGGTTCCAGTCGGGTTTTGAAATGCGGGGATGCAGTAAAGCATCGCCCAAAAGGGTTTCTCTTCGCTTGTGTTCCAACTCTTGACATTTCGCCACATCTGCAGTTTTTTCTCCAAATCTCCGACATCCAAACCATTGTCATCCATTTCAACTAAAATAAATAAAATTGATTCAATTCCCTTTAATTAAAAAAATAAATTTAAAATTTTATACTAGGTTCAACAGATGAATTTGGGAATTCTTTGAAAACGTCCAGGGCTATCATATATGTGGCACTTTCTACGAAAATCATTCCTCCCGGAGTGAGCAAAGTGTTCAAAATAATCTGCAATCCGTGGGTGGCTCCACAAGTCAGAATCAAGTCAGATCTAATAAAATTAATTTAAAATAGCGCATGATATTTTTTTTTAAATGCACATCAGAATTCGGCGCACCTGTTCACTTTGTCATGATAGCTTTCAGACAAAAACTTTGAAAGCACCTCTCTGAATTCCCAGGATCCGGGAGCGATTCCATATTGAAAGACGTTAACATCTTGAAATTTTTCCTATCAATAAGTTTAAACAATAAATGCATTTTTCTATTAAATTTAATTGCATTTGCAAAAAAGTAAATTTTTTATGTTTAAATGTTATCAGCAGTAATTATAAGGGCCCCTTAAAAAATTCGGTGTTTTAAAATTAGTGCGCAATAATTATAGAGAACTAATGAGCCATCATAATTGATGGTGATAACGTACTATTGATTTGCTTTTTTGTAATGGCATCATTTGAATATTTAAATTTATTTTCTAAAAACCTCTGTCTCTTTTTCTATTTTTAAAATCTCAATCCTCTCATTTAATTAAGTGATGCTAAATTGAATAAATTTTTTCTCAATATTTTACCATAGTGTGACTCCAAGCTTTGGTGAAAAGCTCGGAGCACGCGTGCAAGAGGGAGGGCCCCGGAGCACCAGCCGTCAGCCGGATGACCCCTTCTTGCTCCAGACCATCACCTACGCTGACGTCGAAGAGGTGCTTTAAGGGCGGGTCGTCAATTTGCTCAGAAAACGGCATCGCGTATTATTTGGTTGCGGCACAACTCGGAATTCTGCGCTCACTTCAAAGGCCTTATCAGCTGGCGTTGTTTGGCATCATCGTCTGCTGAAGACAAACAAGCAGCCCGCATCGCATTGTGTAGTGAATGAGCACCGATTGAGCACCAAGTCGGCGGCTGCGCGTTACTTAAGTGCTTCTGGCCACCACAGACTCGCAGCAAGCATGAATAAATGTTTAATTATTGTATGCAGACAGAAAGCAAAACCGTATTTTATAATTTGAAGTTTTTTTTTAAATATCCAACATAATTAAATTTGTGAAAATTAAGCTTTTAATTGAGAATCATAAAAAAGGTTGTTTTATAAGCGCGGTATCTTATCTAAGAATTTTTAACAAAATGAGATATTATTTTCAACAACGGTTTATTATGTTCTTACTAAAAAGGCAACGACTATGCATGTCTATTTGCACAATAGGAAAAATGAGGGCAGGATTCTTAGTATATCATTGCAGGAGAAGAAAATTTTTAAGGTGGATTTCTTTAATGAAAAATGCTGTTCTTCAAAAGCAATTACTCTTTATAAAATGTTAAATTACAAGTAAATAAAAAGAATTAAAATTTTGAAAGTTAAATTATAAAATGTGGTATAAAATTTTTCTTGAAAGTTTAAATTTTAATTTTTCACCACCGTTACATTTTTTCTTTTTCTCCGTAACCAAGAAGACTTTATAATACTGCATCTGACGCAATATTAGATTAATTTCGATGAGGCAGAGCAGGAGTGGAATTAGAGACAATTTCTTTAGAATGAGTTAACAGAGTGACGCGCAGTCGGCGCATCACTTAATGATCAACATTATCTTTATTTGTATGACTTAAGACTTAATCTTTACATCAGTCGCGGTTTTTTTATTAGCCAAGTACTGGTTCAGGTAGTTGGTGCGGACGATTCCACCGTGGATGTGCCCGACGCATGTTTGGATTTGTCCGACCGCCTCTCCGCACTTTTTGTGCTTATCTGTTTAGTCACGAAAAATAAATTTGAGTGAACCCTGAAATTATTTTAAATAATACCGTGATCAGCAGCCAAGTCTTGAGGACAGTTCTGAAAAAGAAAAAAAATACAGAAATTAATATAAATATTGAATTTGATTCTAAATATGTATGCAAAGTGAATCACAAGGATGTCGTGCGAGTTGCATACTTTTAGTAAAAAAGCAATACTTACAAGAGCGATGGCAGCTTGCAGGCACTGCACCACGTGGACCGATTCGGTTTTGCACGTTTTCTTCCTGCGGTTTTCGCGGAATGAGATCTCCTTAACGGTAGTTCCTGAATTTGAGAATAAATTAATTCAATAAATAAAGTTGTAATTTCCATACCGTCGGTGAAATTTTTGCACATGTCGACAGCCTCGATCAAGATGGATTTCCAAGGGTCACTTCTGCCTTTGGTGATGAATTTGGCCGTCTTCTGGTAATCAATATCGCCGGAAGAAGTCATCTGGTAATATTTACGAGTTAAAATTGTAAAAAAGTAATAAAATTTAGTATATTCTTACCAAATTGTTTGATTGGAAGATACAATCAGCAAAGCACTGAAAAGTTAACGCATTAAAATGAAATTTAAATTAAAATTATTGTAATTATTTACCACTCCAGGTCCAAACAAGTTTCCTAAATTATGAAAAAAAAAAAAATTAATTGAAAAATGCATTTTTTTTTTTAGTTTTTACGCAAAATAAGACCGGAGTAATCAAGCTGGTAGTTTTTGCGCGAGTCCTGGAGTCTGTTTAACATGACGCCGTTCAGCAGGGTGTCGGCTTGCTTGCTCTGCTTTTTGTTGCACTCTTTTTGGGTGGTTTCCATGGGAAACAGATCTTCCACAGGCATTGCGCAGCATTCATCAGAAGTACGCTAAATACATTTTTTTTATTATTGTTTCCTACTCATTTTCATTGAAAAAAAAAATTAAAATATTTTTATAAAAATTTCATTTTTTGCTAGTAAATTCACATTATAAATTTAAACAATGATATCATGCGTGGGACCTAAAAGTTTTCGGTACTTTGAACTGTCTATAATTTGGAAGAATTTATACCGATCGCAAATAAAAACGAGTGGCGGCATCAATAGGCAATAGGGGCTTTTTTGATAAGAATTAAGGCCATAAATATTGGCGCGCACGTCAACTGTCAAAGATCGGACAGTATTATTTGTTATTTTGACATCGTCATTGATATTTTTTGACTCACTTCGAAATTCTGAAGACCACAGTTCACTCTTTTCTGCTTTCCAGTGGTTGTCGTAAAAGGAGACGTGGTTTCGATTTCGCTCGTTGTTGTCTCGTCATCGTCAATTAGCTCAACATGACTCTCGGAAGATTCCTTGGCTAAATTGATTTTGAATTAATTTTAGGTTTCAATATTCGAGTAAAATAATTTACCTAAAGCCAAAGATGATCCTACCAGAGCGCAGAGCTGTGTAATAAAAATTACTTAAATTAAATTTGGTGAATTCAAAAATTTTTCAGAGAAACGGAGAATGAAAAATTGAATAAATTAAAGTAATTAAAATTTAAAATGTATTTTTAAAATGAGGATAATATTTCCAAAATTTTTAAAAGGATTCAAGGCATTCAAGCATAGCATTATCAGTGGGAATTAAAAATTACAAAAAAGTTAAATAAATCTAGAACTTTTTCTCGTCAATACTTGCTCTTTTTGAAACTCAAAGAGAATTTTTTTTGAATAACAATTTTTTATAAAGATTCGGGCTTTTCCTCGTTGCAAAAAATTGTTTTTTATTCAAAAACAAACGGCTCGCTGAATAAAAAACAATTTTTTTGCAACGAAGAAAAGCCCGAATCTTCATTTCCATGATCATCTCCTCGAGCGTCAACTTCTTCAAACAAATTTTTAATAAATCAACTGTTTTTTCAGTTAGAAAAAACAAAAGTTTGGTAGACATGGGTATGAAAAAAAATTTTAACTCGAAGGAAAAACGCTCACCAGGAGAGTGACAATTGGTTGCCAGGCGATCATGATGCTGCTGGATGAATTGCAGAGGCTGCGAGAGTGATGATGTGAGTGCAAAGTACGCGCCTTTTATACCTGAGTGCAACCTGCATACATTTCCTGTCGATAACCTAATATTATCAGGATGCAACGCCGAAACTCAAATGTGTGCCAACATCATTCGTGCGCTTTATTACACTTTTTTTCGCGATTGCTCCACATTTCGGCGGTCTCTTGCGTGAATACTGTGGAGTCATCAATCGCGCGACTATAATAATTTCGTGCCTGAAATGTATGCTACTGTTATTTACACGTTTTTTAACACGTGAGCATGGAAATTATGTAGTTTAAATCAATCTAAAATATAAAAGCGCTTGTTATTAGACAAGAGGTTTTTCAATTTATGGACACATTTTAATATTTTTTATTTTCTGTTCTATGTTACAAATTGGACGCATCTCATTGAGTTATCTAATCATAGTGAACACAATAAGTAATTTAAGATAAATGACAATAATATTCTTTTATTTAAAATCAAAACAGCTTGTTTGGAAAATAATATAGAAACATTTTCTTAAACCTAAACCAGCCCGCTAATTTTTTTTCACTTCAAGAACGTCCATGAACAATCCACACTTATTATTTTACCTTACATGATATTAAAATTATTTAAAAGACTTAATAATAGTAATATTACTGAAAAATGAACAGAAAAATGTCGTATTATTATTATTTTTACTTACTATAGCGGCCAGCTTTAATTGTTATTATCATTGCATAAACTTTTATTGTAGATCATGATGTGTGTATGCAGGAAGAATTACCGCAATAAAGTGGAGTTGATATAAAAATTCTATAATTCAATAATCCGCGCTTGAAATATAGCTGATAGTATACAAACTCAAGTCAAAATAATGTTTGCAAATAAAAAGAAAGAAAAGTTATCATAATTCTCCTTGATCCGAGGTATAAATTGCTTGCTTGCTGATTGCAATCATCATTTGAAATTATTGGCGTCAAAGGCAAAAGTGAAAAATGAAGGTGGTGAAGCGGTTTTTGTTACTGAGCTTATGCCTTTACAACTTGGTTAACTTTTCAGAAGGTAGGTGTAATTAAAAACTAATTATTTCATTCAGAATTAAGAAAATTACCACCTTTAATGTTTTTAATAGCAATTCAGAACATAAAATTTTAATAAGAAAAATATTTGATATTTTAGTAGCTAAACAATAATTTTAAATATTTGTTAACTTCAATATTCTTTTTTCCAAATTAAACGCAATAAGATCTCCGCGTAAATGAATTATATTATAACCAGCATTTGTTGCATTGCAGCCCTTCTCGGTGACCCTTGCCCTACCCCCGAAACAGGGGTTTTTTGCTCCACCACTGTTCCTAATTCAATATGCGAAGAGAACAAATGTGAGTGTGACGTTGACAATGGGTTTATCGAAGAGGAAGGAGGAACCAGGGACGTGTGCTTTAAAAGTAAGTCTCAAATGCAAACATTTTTGTTATTGCTCTAATTTGTGGAAATTGTTAAGTTGTGTGTAAAAGAAAGGAATTGAACCAAAAAATCTTTTAATAAATTCTAAATTGACTTATTTTGTTCCCTAAGAAACTGTTATTGGAGACGATTGCAAGATTGGTCCTCAATGTGACTACAACGATGCAGTTTGTAGAGATGAGATTTGTGGATGTCGGACAGGATTCGTAGTGTTCGGAAACACGTGCAAACAGAGTGAGGAAAATAATTTAATTATCCGGTCATTAATAATTTTGCATTAATTTTTTTTCCATAGAGATAACCACCATTGAAAAGGACCAGTGCGAATCGAATGTTCAGTGCCCAGAAAATTCCCGGTGCGTGCAAAATTCAGGTACACCCTCGATGTGGTGCAAATGCGTCAACAATTTCGTAGCAAATGGAAACGGCGACGCCTGTTTGCGAGGTATAAATTTCATAATAATGAAATGCTGAATTTTACCAAAATTTTATTTTAAACAGTCACTGCAGTTTCTGGCGATTGCGTTGAAGATATTCAGTGTTCAAGGTCGGACCCAAACTCCGCTTGTGCGGAAAACAAAAAATGCACGTGCAAAAATATTTACTTCTATAGCTCTGCCTTGAAAAGATGCGAACGAAGTAAATTAGAAAATAAATTAGCTAATTCTTTGATTTATAACACACAACGTTTAAATTCCACAGAGGCAGTGGCTCCTGACATGTTCTGCGCAAGCCAAGAATATTGCGACGACATTAATGCTGTTTGCGAACTGCCAACACCTCCGTCAATTAGGGGCTTATGTAAATGCAAAGGCGATACCAATTTCGATGTGACCAAAAGTTTCTGCGTGCCAAGTAAATTAAATGTTAAGCTTTTGATATTGCGCTGATAATTTTATTCATTAATTAGATTCTCTGAACGACGGATGTTTCAACAATGACCAATGCAGCTCTTCTGTGCCCAATTCAGTTTGCAGGTTCAACAATGGTTTGCGTGAAAACGTTTGTACTTGTCCCGAGAATTTTGTGCCGAATAGCGATTCAACAAGATGCTTACCAGGTGAAAATAAAACTATTAATTCATGATGTCATTGATATAAAAAAAAAGGATCATGCAATATTAATAGAATATTATTTATTTTATCAAAGTTGAAACAAAGGTACGCTTCAGAATTTAATTTAGCTAAATATTTACCCTTAATTTGAGCCTAAAGTAACAACATTTTTTAAGAAAAAAAAATTTTTTTTTTCTCTTTTTTAATCATATAATATTATTTACAAGTAAATAATATATGTATTAACGTTCTTATAGTTTTCAACGCGTTGAATGTTGATTGCCTGGTTAAATCCCAATGCAACATTGACAATTCAGCATGTCGCGGTCCTTTGGGACAAACCAAGTGCGTTTGCGATCTTGGCTTTGTTCAGAATTTAGCAGGGATTAGCTGCTTGAAGGGTACGCATGGTCTATTTTTTGAAACATTTTATTAGTGTTCCTTTCCACAGGTGCCAGTTTCATCAACGACGTCTGCGAAGTGTCAGGCCAGTGTGCTGTCCTCAGTGGTTCGGCTTGCACTTCAGGCAGATGCCTATGCCCGGTGGCCACACATATCCCAAAAACCGACCTCACTGGCTGCATACCGAGTAATCAATTTAACATAGTTTTGTGAAGATTTTGGCATTATTTACAGTTTTTTGCTCTTTGGAATCTTATTGATTAGGATAAAAATTATATAATAAAGGAAGTTACTAACTTTGTTTTCCTAGAGGTCAACGATTTTGTTACTGACTGCAATCAACTCAACCAATGCACACAGGCAAATACATATTGCGACATTCTTAGCAATAGGTGCACATGCAGTGCTAAACATGTACTGGTGGGAACCTCATGCGTCAAAGGTTGGTGGAACTTGCAAATTTTTTCTTTTTAGTTTTTTTGTCATACTTTAAATTTCCTTAAAAACTAAAGAAGAGCAATTTTTTTTTATAAATGAATTTTGAAATTTATTGTGTTAATCGAGCAATTTAAAATCATGGCTTGCTAACAAATGCCTTTTTCCCTAAAAAAGACATTAGCTAGGATTCTTCCACCATAATTAAAGTGTTATTTCACAGATAATAATTTTTTCAAAAACCATAAAAATTCAAATCACCAATAGACCAAGAAATACGCCAAAAATTTACACATTTCCAAAATTTTACAGTCGCTGATAAATTGGGAGATTCGTGCTCATCAAACGCGCAGTGTCCTTTCGAGAATGCAGTGTGTCCAGCTGGTGCGACCAGAGTTTGCAGTTGCTCCGCCAATTTTGTGGCGAACGCCGCAAAAGACAAATGTCTTCCAAGTAAAAGAATCAAATATGAAATTTGAAAGATAATTAATTTTTTTGAATTTGGAAGCTGTCGCATTCGGAGGAACATGCACCGAGGGAGTTCAATGCACAACTTCAGGAGAGGCAGATTGTATTGAAGGGAGTTGCAGTTGCAAAAAAGACTTTGTTTTAGCCGCAGACAGCTGCCTTGCAAAACGCAGTAAGTATTGTTTTCATATAATTCAATTAATTGAATTTAATATTTTATCTTTATATCTTTTTATTATGAATAATAATAATACATACATATCGATTTTTAATTGATACGAATTATTTTCTAAGGCTGCTTGATAACTTTGAAATTAAATTACTTTTGTATCAAACTGAATTTATGATTACAACTTCAGGGTTGGGCGATGATTGTACCAACGATGCTCAATGTCAGTTGGCCGAAAATCTAGATAGGGCTTTTTGCTCCACCAACGGAAAGTGTGATTGCAAATCACCATTCACTGCCATCGTTTTGGAAAATAAATGCAACTCTGGTAAGGAAATGGACTTGTATTTTGAAGACCTTTCTCTTTATTTTGAGTATTACTTTTTCAGGCGTCCAAAATACTCTGGCCACTGCAATCATGGCGATTGCTTTGCTTTTTGTGAAATTAGCGTGATGAAATCAGGATCCATAGTATATTATTTGTAAAATTAAGGTAAAATTGGAATCAATAAAGTCGAAATGTTTCTGTTTAATAATTTAGCAACTTGTCTTTTACTTTTTTAATCCATATAATCAACGTAAAACGATACACCATACTATAAAATTTATTTACAAATAGAAAAAGTAAAAAATAAAAAATTTCAATCATCATGACTCTTTGCAATTGAGAAATGCATAAATGGGGTTGAAAAATGAAAAATATCACTACAAAATAAATAAGAAACAAACAAACAACGTTCAATAATTAATTTCCAGTCTTTACTGTGAAACTTGTAAAATTGTAAAATCCTCACTTTTTGTTCAATGCAAAATTCAAAATCATCAACTAAAAATTTATTGATTTTAAAGTAAAAAAATATTATTATTATTTGAGAGCCATTAAATTAGAGATTGAGATAACGGTTTTTCTGTTTAATTTTAATACAGTTAGCCTCAGGAAGCAAAAAAAAAGATTATAGTTATTCACGGTTTTTCACTAAAAAGTAAAATTATTTGATTTTATTTATTTATTGTTTTTCATGCGCTGATGATATGTACAAATCAAATCACAATTTCTACAATATCTAAAATGAAACTTACTGAAATTAAATTGAAATTTACTTTTCTCATAAATAGACACGCCATAATTATTCGTACACATCTTGCGCGCAACAAATCTTAGAGCTCATTTCCTCCTTTTAAAATTTTTGTCAATGACCCAGTAGAATAAACTATAATAAATATTTAATTATATATTATAACAAAATTATTCACTTCGCAAACTCCCTTGTCACGATTTTGGTATCTTACCAATATGCCTCGTCTGCTCTCATTTTTCGCACTTGCTTTTAAGTTTTAATTATTAATTTACTTTTGGGGCTCAACATAAATATCTCATTTGTCTTGTGATATCATCGCAAAGAGCAAACAGAAATTTCGCACGATCCCACGCGAATATGTGTGCTTTTTATGTAATTTTTAAGTCAACGCACCTCAATAAAAAAATTTGTGGAATAGAGTTCTTGTATAAAATGCACGGATCGCCTGAGTAATGCCATTTTTCCCAACGTCGCACGGTGGACAAATGCATCATGATGGACTCTGGGAAATATCTCATCTGTTTTCTCTGCTTAACTTGCGTTATATCGCCTTTATACGCTGGTAAGTTTTTCTTACAATTAGTAAAAAAAAAAAAATTGTCGATAATAATATATTTTAACCAATACCTAGAGTAAATAATTTTACTAGCAAAAATAGAGCAAAAAATTTCTTTCTTGCATTAAAGTCTAATGCAAAATCGGCAATCAGCGCATTATCAAAACACAAATCTATTTATTGCACTTTTTAGGCCGCGTTATGAACTAATTAAGATGAGCAATGGCCATTCCACAGCATTTTGAAATTCATTATCTAAATCGCGAATAAGCAAGGGGACTAAACAATTACATGTGCGTGATAATATGTTCCAAGAAAGCAATCGTAATGCTTTTTATCAAGTTATTGTCGATTTCTTTTATGATGATTCAACGGAGAAATTTATTTTTATTTATGCTTTTTATGTTCTAAAATCCATTTCTAATTTAATTGGAACAAGTTTTTTTCCATTTATAAATTAAAAATAAATTTTTACTGCGATCCCACAATTATTTAGATCGCGTCGCTTAAAATAAAATCGTCACATTGAAATTATCTGATGAGTATAATATTATATTGTAATTTTACAATAATTCATTTTAATAACTTTTTACAGACTATTAAACAGAAAAAAATCGATCGGAACGTTTCAATAATTGTGTGTAATAAGATAATTTTCAATACACTATAGTACACTTTAATATAAATTTATATTATTTAATAAATTTATATGCATTTCAATAAACATTTTTCATTTATGCGTGAAATTAAATAACTAACCAAAGCTCTGAATTAATCGATATTAAACCAGCAATTTGTTGAATTGCAGCCCTCCTTGGTGAAGATTGCACTGGCGATTCGGATTGCTCCACCGTGCCAAAGTCAATCTGCGGCAACAACAAGAAATGCGAGTGTATTCCTGGTTTTATTGATAACGTGAAAGGAGGAATAAAAAATGAATGCTTCAAAAGTAAGTCCCGAGCCAAGTTTTGCTTCTCTTTCTTAGTCACTGCAGTATGAGGCGATCATTGTCGAATTTTTAAAAATTGACTCTCTTAAATTGTTGTTTAAAATTTTACTAACATGTGAGATTTACTAAGCTCATATAGCTCTTGGCAGTCAATTTAGGTGAAAGATTATATTAGTTTTCATTGATTTATTAGTAGGATACAAAAATCCTTATATTTAAAAAAATATAACATTCTATCAGTTTTTACTAAGCTGGATGACTTTACGAAGCTAAATTTACGCAGATTTGAAAATTCACTGTGTTCCCATTATTGTATTTTTATTGGGCCAAAAAATTCCTTTGCGATCTTGAAATTTTTCAGAACCACTTATCGCTCTTTTAAAGATAACGTTTGTCGATAACTTTAAAATGAACCGTTTGAATAATTTAAATATAATATTGAATGCAAAATAATTTAAAAATAAATATTTGCAGTCGCTGATAAACTGGGAGATTCGTGCAAATCAAACGCGCAGTGCCCTTTCGAGAATGCTGTGTGTCCAGATGGCGCCAATCGGGTGTGCAAATGCTCCACAAATTTTGTGGAGAATACCGCAAAGGACAAATGTCTTCAGAGTAAGAACCAAATATTCACAATTAATATTTTTACTTTTATTGAATTTTGAAACTGTCTCACACAATGTTCAGAACATGCATTTGAGAAATGCTTCATTTCGTGAAATATTTTAAATGTTCTTTTCTACAGGTGCCAGTTTCATCAACGGCGCCTGTGAAGTGTTAAACCAGTGTGCTGGTCTCATTGGTTCGACTTGCACTTCAGGCAGATGCCAATGTCCTGCTACGCATATTCTAAAGACTGACTTTTCTGGCTGCGTACCGGGTAATAAATTTAAAAATGATTCTGTGAAATATCCTTCAAAAAGAAAGAATAAAGTATTTTATGTGGATTTGAAAAATAAATTACGAAAACAATAATAAAATGTAAAAAAAATTAACTTACTTTGTTTCCGCAGAGGTCAAAGATTTTGTTACTGAATGCGTACAAGTCAACCAATGCACGGCGGCAAATATGTATTGTGACATTCCCAGTAAAAGGTGCACATGCAGCGGTAAACATGTACCGGTGGGAAGCTCATGCATGAAAGGTTAGTGGATAAAAAAAATATAGATGGAAAAGTCTTTTTGATTTTTTTATTTAAATTACTCCAATAATTCTAATAAAGTATCTTTGAAAACCAAGTCATTCTAATTAAAATTATGTGAAACTTAAATTAACTTTATATGTAAGTCCGCGTGATCTTTTAATTGAGATAATATTTCAATATTTAACATTTTTGACTAATGTTTTTATGTACTGAAGTAATGTTGTCATGATTTTCCCCCACTAACTTTACAGATTTATTAACCTTATCCATGTGATTTGAAACAATAGATTGCTAAATAGATTCATTATTTTGCTGACCTTTCCCACTAAAATTAAATCCTACCACTAATCGCTCTGTTAAAGATAACATTTGTCGATAACCTTACAATTAAACGTTTGAATAATTTAAAGATAAAATTTTATGCAAAAAAATTTAAAATTTCAACAAAATATTTGCAGTCGCTGATAAACTGGGAGATTCGTGCTCATCAAACACGCAGTGCCCTTTCGAGAATGCTGTGTGTTCAGATGGCGCAACCCGGGTGTGCAAATGCTCCACCAATTTTGTGTTGAATGTCGCAAAGGACAAATGTCTTCCAAGTGAGAACCAAATGTTTGCATTTAATATTTTACTTATTGAATTTTGAAGCTGTCGCACACAATGGAAAATGTACCGAGAAAGCGCAATGCACAACCACAGGAGAAGCAGATTGCGTTGAAGGGATTTGCAGTTGCAATAAAGATTTCGTTTTTGCTGCAAATAACAATTGCCTAGCAAAACGCAGTAAGAATTTTTCTTTGAATGTTTATTTTTATGACTAAAATCGATTATTCGGATATTATTAATATAAAAACATTAATAAATATATCAATGACGGCGATCCAAAGGTCTTACCTGGCCCAAGCTAAATTGAATGTCAGAGAGGTTAAATCAGTTCGGACCAAGTAAATTTAGCCTGGGCCCGACTAATTTATCGTTTTTGGATCGTCATCCGTCATCTAACAATAAGCCGCGAGGAAAATTTAATGCTTGTGTTTATATCTCAAAACTAACTTTATATTTTCAACTACACAGGCTTGGGTGAAATTTGTACCGACGATGCTCAATGTCAGTTGTCCGAAAAATCAGATCGGGCCTTCTGCCCTTCCTACAAAAAGTGTAATTGTAAACCACCATTCACTGCTGTTATTTGGGGAAATTACTGTAACTCTGGTAAGTGATATAATTAAAACCCTTTCAAACACCTCATTTCAACGGTTACTTTTTTCAGGAGTGCAAAATGCTGTATCCACTGCAATCCTGGCCATTGCTTTGCTATTTGTGAAATTAGTGTGAAACCGAAGCAGGAAAGCAAAGAAGAATATATTTTGTAAAATTAATTTTCTCATTAAAACAAACTATTTTATGTCATATAATTAAGAATCATAACCAATAATTCAACTCGATAATCAACAACAGTGTCAACAATGCCTCTTTGATTTAAAAAACAAAATTGTAGACAAAACACGGAGGGGGAATTAAATTTCTTTTTTAAAAAAAATACATAAACATTGATTATCTAAAGCAATTATGATTTCTGTGAAAAAATTATACAATTTAGTGTAAGCTCAAAAGCTGTTTTATCGTCTCCATCTAAAATAATTTTTGGTGTTATAATTATGCAAATTACAAGTCCATCGTATTCCCTTCGCCCTTAAGCAAGGATCTTTTTTGGCTAATCTCATATTGAATAGAAAAAAATTGTGATTTTTACCTTTTTTTTAAGTATAAACCTTTTTTAAACATAATATAATTTTCAATCCAGATGCTCGAAACAAAAATTCAAATGTAATATTTTTCATTGACAGGTAAAATTATTTAATTTTCATGTATGATTAATACAAATTACACCATAATTCATACATTATCTGAAAAATGCAAGTTTTATAAAATTATATCGCATTTTTTACTCATCAAAGAGATCAGAGAAGTGGTGACAGTGGCTCTTTGTTAGCGCAACAATTCTCGGTTATAAAATTAGTCACTTTGCAAACTCTCTCGTCACAGAGTCACGATACTGGTATCTTACGTAGAACCTTCGTCTGCTTTTGTCGCGCTTGCTTTTAATTATCAATCTAATTTTACGGCTCAAAATAAATACCTCATCTGTCTTGTGATATCACCGCGAAGAGCAAACAAAACTTTCGCACGATGCCCACAGGAATAGGTATTACATGGAATTTATATGTCATCACATCAATAAAAAGCTTATCTAGAATAGTGATCTGGTATATAATCCTCGGGCCGCCCAAGTGGTGCTATTTTTCCGGGATCATCAACGCTGCACGGTGCACAAAGTGATCATGATGGACTCTGGGAAATATCTGGTCTCTTTTCTCTGCTTAGCCTGCGCTATTGCGCCTTTGAACGCAAGTAAGTTTTTCGAGTTTTTCTAAATGTATATTCTATTTTTATTCAATTTTTCGTCCTCTTTTTCCCTACCTTAAAGGAATAAATAATTTAAAATTTTATTTATCCAAAATATGTATTATTTCAAATAATTATTAATTACGCAATATCATAGAATTCAATTTGATTATTTTTGTCTACCTGAGATCGTGTTAGGCAGCAACAGACCATATTTTGAAAGATATGATCGGATCAAACCTATTTCATGCGATGATTGACGATTGGGCAAATAAAAATTGAGCTTTTTTTGTCGGGGAACAAAAATTGTCGGTCAAACTCATTTGATATTTTACTAAGAAATGGTATAAATTATCGAAAAATTTCACTTTATTCTAAGATCCGCAATACAGATCAAAAAATTAAAATAGGTTTTCTTCTTTTATCACTGCACCTTCATTTTTTTATCATGTCCATCTTTCCATATCATAATATAATTAAAGAATCATAAAAATAGAAATAAAAGAAAAATAACAATCTGTGTACAAATACTAAGTTTAAACTAAAGTTTCATACATTTTTAAAAATCCTGGACCATTGATCCGGAAATATAAATTATGTTTGAAAGTAGTGTTCAAAATTATTTTGAATGCAAAATTCAATCATGCTATCAATAATAATCTAATTTGATTCAAATTTACATTTTTTTATTGAAAAATAATTTGTTGTCCTCACTTTAAATTGTCGTATTAACATTGATTTTTTTTATTCCAGCATCACTAGGCTCAACATGCTCCGTTGATACAGACTGTTCGGTGACTCTACCTAAAGTAGATAATTCAATTTGTCTTACTGGATTATGCTCGTGCGCTGCCACGCACGTTCCAAATAGTGGTACCTGCTCACCAAGTAAATTTATAGGAAAACTGTAGCCACAGTTTTAATTAAGGAACATGACATTTTTGCAGAGGTGGTCATTGATGAAACGTGCGAAATCTCAGCACAGTGTCCTGTGGGGAACTCGAATTGCGCAGGAACAGCACCTGATAGGAAATGTGTGTGCACGGCTGGCTACGTCGCTTCAACGGATAAAACCAAGTGCCTAAAACGTGGGTCCAATTTATTTGTGCGAAAGGTTTAAAAAAAAATTAATGAATATATGTCTTGATTAATTATTTCAAATCAATCGTTTTGTCAAAGTCAAATAGATGTGAATAATATTTCTAAATATTCAATGAGCTTGAACAATTGAAAATTTAAAAACAGAAAAATAACTCAAATATTTATAATTGTAATTATAGAATTCCACCGACTCAATATTACTCAAAACCGTAAAAAATCACCTTTTACCTTACCTTGATCACAAGTTCGCATAAAGATAAAATTAAGCTGATGGTTTATAAATTTTAAAGTTTTTACGAAACATCGTTTTTACAGTGCAACAAGGTGTTGATGACGATTGCGAGGAGTCGAGTCAGTGCACAGCCACTCCCAACTTGGAATGTCCTGATAAAACGGTTTGTAAATGCAAGGAAAATTTTGTCCAGTATCAATCCACGTGTGAGCCAAGTAAGGCAAAACTTATTTTTTCTTGTTGTCTAAAAATTCAGTTCTTAAAACCGTTTCTCAGGAGTGCTGACCATTAACAGCGGTTTGTGTAAAAATTCAATTCAATGCCCGGAAAATTCACGGTGCCTTGCAAACTCCCCAACGACAAAAACGTGCCAATGCAATAGCGATTTTATTCCTTTTCCCAATACAAGCCCGAATTCATGCCTGAAAAGTAAGTTTGTCCTACAATAATTCCCGAAGAAATTAATTAATTCATGCAAATTATGATACACAGGAGCCGCATTTGGCGAGAATTGTTCTGCTTCAGTTCAATGCACCACCTCAGGCAACGTAGAGTGCGCAAGTGGAAAATGCTCTTGCAAAGCTGATAATTACTTTGCAGCAGCAGAGAACACCTGCTCCCCCACAAAAAGTAAAAATCTCATTTTTCCTACTTTGAAATTAAAAAAAAAAATTAAGTTCAAAATTAAAATTTTCCATTTGTCCCCAATTAATTACTCCTTTACCTATCTTTGACCTTCAATCAATTTCACTTCTTATCTCTGATTATAAATTAAAATTAGATTTGGATATTATCCTCTGCTTAGAAGAGATATGGAGCATTTAAATTTCGAAATCGATTGTTTTTAAATTGATGTCTTCACTACGTAATCATTTTACAGAACTGGGAGAAGCTTGTACAAATACAGTCCAGTGTGTGCTGTCTGAAAATATTGATAGAGTCCATTGCCTCGACATTTTGTGCCAGTGCAAACCGACATTTATTCCTGATTTAACCAGAAACAGATGCACGTCTGGTATAATACAAAATTACTATTTCAATTGAAAAAATAAAAATAATCAAACTAATCTTTCAGACGCTGCCAGAAACACCATTACTGCTGCATTTGCCGTTGTACTTTTAACTCTTGGGAAATTGATGTAGATTTTTTAATATACCTTCCGACGAATGAAAAAATGTTGGTGTAAATGTTCTGAAACCGTTTATCAATAATGCCAAAATTTAAACAAAAAATTATCGATCTCTCTGGAAAGTTATTTATTTTAAATAAGTCAAAATAAATTAATTAAAAATTAAAAATATTAAATGTCAATAAAGGTTTCATTAGGCCGATCCGATGAGTCTGGTTTATTGCATACAAGAGGCAACAGTTTATTTATTATACAAATTGAATAAAATTTATTAAAATTAAAAAATTTGTGTACATACTTATTTTAAGTATTTCCATCATTGCTTCAATCTAAATTTACCTTATTTTTGTGTTTCTCCAATAACGACATGAAAACAATTTTTACTTAGAAATAAATTAATTACTTTTGCTGTCGGAATATTTAGGAAAGTTCATGCTGTCTTATTTCGTTAATGAATTCAGCAAAATTTCTGCATTGAAGCAGATAGTTTTTAAGAGTAAGCGGAAAATGTTATTGTGCGCTTGAATATATTATTAGCTTTTCATAATCAAAATGCCGTTCACCAATGAGCACTCAATAAAATAGTTTCAAAAGAATATAAGGAATATAATGTAAATTTTCTGTATGTTATAATATATACTGAGTGGTTATATAATAATGATATTAAATTTTTAAATTATATAATGTTATTAAATGGAAGATAATAGTATTTACAACAAAATTATTACTTCATATAATATATACAATATATTAACTTCATTAATTATATTTAATATTTATATAATCTCAATAACTCAATTAGCAGTAGAAGTGGCCGGCCGGTGGCAATCACCAATCACTTGACATTTCTTAAAAAAATATTAGATCGCATGCATAATAATCATTTAGAATTAGAACATTAAATTTAATCAAATGATATTATGCAATGCTGTGTTTTTCACACGGAAATTAGATATAAATTGTCCATCGTATCAGTCATAAAGACTGGAGGAGCAAAGAAGGCATCGTGTTAGGGGTTTCAATATTAATAATTTATAAAAATATTTATATTAGCTTCTTTGTTACTGAAAACTTATTATAATCTCTCAATCTGTTATTAATTTCATCCTTCACAAATCGAATTGTGACCAATTATATCGCAGATTTGAAGCTTTTGAACCTCCATCGTAAAAGGTATTTTATTGAATGTCATATTTGCCTTAATCCTTTTATAACCCTAAATTTTGATAGATTTGCAATTGGGCGTTGTTTTGATACAAGGCAATAATTTGAAACAACGTCAATTGCGAAAAGGTTGCCTACTTTCCAAGCATGAATTATTTCAATTAAATTTACATAACCGTTATCTTTGTTTGCAACTTATCTCCAAACAAAGAGATTAATTTGAAAGTGACCAATGCTTTGTGGAGAACGTGGATTACCTGAGCACCTTGATGTCCGGGGCGGTGCACGCTCAAAATCTGTCTTTCAAAGTTATCGGTACTTAAACTTAATCCCTTTTAATCAATTACAATGCTAAGTTTTCGCAATGACAGTAATTGCACTGGAGGACGTACATAATGCCAGCTTATCAGTCAAAGTCAATTGGTAAAAGAAGCAATAAATACAGGAACTTATTTTGTCATTCACCATTTCAAAGTTTGAGAGAAGCAACGATGGCGAAGAAGATCGCGCTGCTTATTTGTCTCGGGCTGTCCCTTTCAACTGCGTGTAAGCCAATTTTAAAATTACAAACAGAAATTTCTAAAATTCTTTCCAAAATTTAAATTTGAATATCTTGTTATTTTAATTTAATATTTCAACGTACACTACGTTTAATATTCAAATTTTACCAATATTTGCCTTTTTCAGAAATAAAATTTCTCAAATTAGATATCAATCTTAAATTTTCTTGTACTCATTGTCAGCACAGGAATTGCTGGAATGCCTAATATTTGCTTCAAAACTGAAATTTAATGATTTTAAATAAAAATTTTTTACATCAGTTTAATCTTAATTTATTCAAGTCGCTGAAGATGATTTACCTCTGCAATTGGGCGATTCGTGCACAGAGCCAGGTGATTGCACAATTCCCAGTTCCACTTGCAGCGGAGAAGAAACGGATTATAGGTGCTTTTGTAACGAAGGGTTTTTCGCTAGTGCTGACAAAAATCGGTGCCTTCGAAGTATGAATTTACATCTTATTACCCTTTGAGCTTTGACTCGATTTTTCGATTCACCAGGAGCTGAATTTTTGGAAGATAAATGCGAGCTGGACGCACAATGTACGCATTTCTTTGACGCAGAGTGCCACGACACATTTTTAGAGTGCCGATGCAAACCTAATCACGTTCCCAACGACCTACTGAACCGCTGTTATATAAGTAAGTGAGAAAATTGTTTTCTACAGTTTAATATCGAAAAAGTAATTCAAAAATTTTTTCTTTCTTAAAATTTCAATTTGGCAGGACAACATTTGAATTTGATTATGTAATATTTGATATTTTAAAATTAAAGCATTTTGTTAGAATTTTGATGATAATTGATAATCAATTTTATATAACCTATTTTTCCGGTTTTGGTTAGCAGCGGAAAAATGGGCTCTGAAAATTATTCAATAAACAACAAAATTTCTGTTTGTTTATTCTTCTGATTTAGGATATTATTCAATAATTAACTTCAATTTTTATGATTAATCATGAAATTCTAGGAAGATTTAACTTGGATGATCAATGCACAATTCCACGTCAGTGCTCCATGGAAGGAGGCACTTGCATAAATAACGTGTGCGCCTGCAAATCTGATTATATTATTCACGAAAAACAATGCCTCCCACGTACGTTTTCTCTAGTTTTTTTTTTTACAGTAAATTGTGATTAAATGTACAATTCTTTCTTTTAAAAAGTACTTAACACAATTCAAATTGACGTGTGCATAATCAACGAGCAGTGTCCTGCTAATTCAGAGTGCAAATCAAACGGCCAAGCTAAAAACTGTATTTGCAAAACTGGATACGTCAGAAACAACGCGTGGAAAGAATGCTTGATCGGTTGGATAACTAATAATATTAATTAATTTATATAGTACTTAAAAAATTGCAATTTCAGTGAGAGATTTAATTGGAGGCGTTTGTACTGAATCGCAGCAATGCGCAGTAGCACATTCGGAATGCAAAGACGACGGTGGAATAAAAATTTGCGCTTGTTCTTTGGGCTACGTGTCAGATCTTAGCAATCGAGCCATCTGTTACAAAGGTTGGTGCTGAGAGATTAATTTATTACGAGCAGTAAAATTTCGGTTGCTAATTAATTCCTGATTAAAGAGGCGAATAATCTTGGTGATGAATGTGCAATCAACAAGCAGTGCCTTGTAGATAAGGCTGTTTGTCAAGATGGGAAATGCGGCTGCAGGCCTGGTACAATTGAAAGTGCAAATTCTTGTTTGGACAGTACGTGTTAAAAGTAATTTTGAATTTGATTTTTAATCGAGAATTTCAGAGCTGAATACTATTGAGAATGAGAAATGTTTCATCAACGAACAGTGCCCTGCTAATTCTTTCTGTCGGAGCTTCGGCAACGTCAAGCAGTGCAGCTGCATCAGTGGATTTGTTAAGAGTTCAGATGGGACAGCTTGTCTCAAAGGTACAAACAAAATATTGTTAAAACTTTTTTGTAAAATTTGCAAATTAGGGCTACTGAATTAATTTTCTTAGCAGAGTTGACTCATCAGCACTGTTATGTTGGTTAAATATGTCATGGCGGCCATTCATTACCAACTTAACAGGGAAGATGTGAACACACTTCTCTGTAGCCGATATAATTTAATTTATTTTAAATTTCAAAATATAAAATTAAATCTCAAAATTTAATGAGCACTATAATTTTGAATTTCTATTTCATTAAAAATTTTTATCATATTCTAGCTTTGAGCAGCGTTGGAGACATCTGTGTAGATTCAAATCAGTGTGTATTGGCAAATTCAGTTTGCACAGCTAATGACAGTGGTGCAAACATTTGCAAGTGTGCTGACGGTTTTATTGCAAACAGTGCGAAAAATACCTGCGAACAAAGTAATTATTAATTTTTGGTGCATTAAAAAATATGAATTAAAAAATTCAATAAACAGTCGCATCGTCAGTTGATTCGCCGTGCAAATTCCAAGAGCAATGCGATTCCATCAACGGCTGGTGCCAAGGACCTTTTGGCATGCAAAAGTGCGTTTGCAAGCCAAGCACGGAGCCCACCATTGACAACCTCTACTGCGAACCAAGTAAATTATAATATTAATATATATTTTTTTCTCTATAGAAATATATTTAATTTCAATTTTTAAAGATTCTCTGGGATCCCCTTGTACTGTGACTGGCGATTGCTCAAAATGGACAAACTCGGACTGCGCACCATTTGGAATAGCAAAAATTTGCAAGTGCAATTCAAACTTTGTTGAAAATAATGCCAAAGACGAGTGTCTTCCTGGTGCGTAAAAATTTAACTAAATTTCAGTCAGATCAATTAAATTTGCTCTTTTGGTAGTTGTGACCAATTTAAATGAGGTTTGCACCGATTCCGAACAGTGCCTAATTGACGACAGCGCTTGCATTGGTGAAACCGGTGCAATGACTTGTCAATGTGCTGAAGGCTTTGTCCCTGACAGCGGCAACACCAAATGCTTGAAAAGTAATTTCATCCAATAAATATTTAGTTTAAAAAATTTAATGTGTTCATTCCTGTCAAAGGGGCCGATTTAATAAACGATTCATGCGAGATCTCAGCCCAGTGCAATCACATCAGTGGAGGAGCAATTTGTAATTCAGTGGCTGACCAGTGCCGCTGTCTTTCAACTCACGTTCCAAGCACAGATTTGACAAGATGTCTCAGGAGTAAGTTTTTATTTATTTATTCTCTAAATACCGCAAAAATGCTGGGATGATATTTGCTAAAAGTGATGCAGTTTTTTTAAAGCTGTCAATATGACTCTTTAATTTTGTATGCCAAGAAAAGATCAAGGAGGCAGAAAATATTATTCACTTAAAAAATACAATTTACCTCCGAAACGTGATACTTATATTATTTCAAAATTCAAACATAAATTTTATCTCATCTTCGTCTGTGCATAAAATAAGTCTTAAAGTTAAACACTTAGCAAATAAATTAGCTCTGAATTTTATTTTGCAAATCATTTTCAATTCATTTATTCTCTCGCATTCTCTTTTCTTTTTGAGTCATTTTTTTTATCTTTATACGTAATTTAAACACATTTTTATCGTAAGACTTAATATTAACTCAGGTAGCTTATATGAAAATAATTTATGCAAATTTACCACTAATTGAATTTTTATAGCATAAATTATAATTTAAATTAATTCTAAGCAAAATCTAAATTTTGTAGAGGTCAGCGGTATTGGTGTGGCTTGTGAGCAGTGGAATCAGTGCTCAACAATGAACGCGATCTGCGATGAAACTGACCTCGTCTGCGTTTGTAATGATAATTTCATCACTGCGGGCAACAACTGCTTGAGAGGTAAATAATATTGTAACCCAGTGTAGGGCAAAATTATTAAAACAAATAATTACAGTGGCAGGAAATCTCGGCGAATCTTGCTTCATTCCGCAGCAATGTCCGTTTGGAAATTCAACATGCAAAGATGGAGCTTGCTCTTGCACAAGTGAATTCATTTCCAGTTCCGACAACAAGAACTGTCTACCGCGTAATTTTAGAAAATTTCAACTTTTAATATTTAATTTATTTCTCCTTTGTTGACCTCATTCAGTTGCATCATTTTTGTGTGATCCATGCTCTGAATCGGCTCAGTGTTCGACCAGAATTCCCAGTTCACACTGTGAGGCGGGAGTTTGCACGTGCGACCCACTTATGGAACCGACGCCAGAAAACAACGAATGCGTCCCAATTCCATGTAAGCCTTTTTTTAAATTAATATCAAAAGAAATGCCAGGTCTAAAAATTTATAAAATCTTGATTAAGAAATATTAGTGTCTGATTGTGAGTGATATTTGGATTGGTGATCAAATTTTTTATGATTAGAGTCACTGGCCACTTGAACGCTTTCCACCAAATCCGTCGCACGCAGTTCTTATCTGAATTCGTGAGATTTCTTTTTTATTGATAAAAGTGTTTTTGAAGAACTAAATTTGATAAGTACTTCAAACTCCCACCTGGGCTTTGTATTTTTTCCAAATTTGATAGATCGTGGAACACTAGGATATTTTTTTTTTAATATATTTGGGCTTTATAAATAAAAAGTCCATTATTCTTCTCATTCATATTTTTGTTCAGATATTAATATCAAAGCTAAATTATTTCAATAAATTATCTTCATCAAATTTATATTTGGAAAAATTGATTATTTTATTTTAGGGAGAGCTTCTATTGAAAATATTTTTGATATGAAGGCCTTTTAGGATATTGTTTTAATTAGGTCATTTTTTTTACTTATAAATGATTTAATATGTATTTTTAAAGTAGGCGGCAGCAATAGAAATTAAGTAAAAAAAATTTAAGCTGTAAAACGCTACATAGGAAATAACTATTTGATTAAATTCGGAAAAAGTAGGTGATTTTTTTTAATAATTTATTTAGGTCATTGTTGAACAAAAAAATTTGAAAAATTCGTACTCTGTATTTAGAATATTATCTCTTTTTGTAGCAGGTACATTATCAAAGTTTTTACGTAATTTCCCAATACCTGTAACTTATTATAGCTCAAAAATTCTCAAGTGAAATGAATCACTCTATCTGTGCAAACTGCGGATTGCGCGAACAAATTCCATCTCTACTTTATGTCAATAGCACTCCATATTCAGTGACGCACAAAAATGAATAATATATTTATATACCTAATGCGATACCGAAAACCACTCAAAATAACCTTCTCTCTCGGCCTATCGCTTATCTATGGGATTGCTTTGTGCAAAGCAACTACCTTATCAGTCTATAAAACGAAGCTGCAGTTCTGGTCAATTCACCAGTTCCTATTTGATTTTTATATAACTTAACCACAAAATGGTGCAGCTCAAATACATTTTCCTCGTTTGTCTCTTTGCACTTGGAAGTGCTGGTGCGTGAGACTTTTATTTTTCCTTGAATATTTTTTCATTCTTAACTCGCTTGAATTTCAGTGAATATCGGCGAGTCGTGTACCGAGGGAACAACAGAGTGTCCTGCAGAATCGTCTTGTACAGGAACTACACCGATTTGTACTTGCAACGCTGATTTTGTTCCTATGGATGACGACTCAGGCTGCCTTCCAGGTAAATTTAAAATTGGATCAAATTTAAAAAATCAAAGATCAATAATTTCTCCATTAAATTAAATTATGTAACTTGTATTAAATAGAAAATAGAACAAAAATAAAAGCTTTGTTTTTGGGATTTCTTTACAGTGGCGCCAGCACTTGACTCGGATTGCATTCAAAGCGATCAGTGCAGCGTGCCATTCCCAAATTCATTCTGCTCCCAAGAAGACAAGTGCATCTGTAAGGATCTATATGTTGCTAACAATGCGAGGAACAAATGTTTGCTCAGTAAGTAAATTTTTTTATACAATTTATCATGATTTTGTTTCTACATTCTTTAGAAATTCTCAACTTAATATAACTAACAGCTAGAAAAGCCATAATTTAAAAAAAAAAATTAAAATATCGTTAGCTCGAAATTGTAAATTTTTCAAAGTAACGATTATAGTTATAAAAAGATTTTGTGTTTTATTCCAGAATTCTTATATTTTTTTTCATATAGCTTGGCAATATACAAAGTTGAATCTTTTGATAGTTCGAAGAAGTTGATACTCGAGGAGATGATCATGGAAATGAAGAGATCGGGCTTTTGTTTTTGAATAAAAAACAATTTTTCTGCAACAAGACAATGCACGATCTTTTCATTTCCACTTTTAATAGTTCATTAATAGCTAAATAAATTCATTATTATTTAATATATGATTTCAATATAATATTTTTAGAGCTGACCGATTTTGAAACAACTTGTGAGGAAGCGCAGCAGTGTAGCGCCGAGGGAGCTCTTGGAAATGCCATTTGCGGTGAAACTACAAAAAAATGCGAATGCATTACTGGCTACGTGAAAAATACAGCTGGCGACAAGTGCATCAAAGGTGTTTTATTAATTAAAACTAATCTGGAATAACTAATTAAAATTTTTCATCAGGTGCCAACTTTTTGGGCGAAAGTTGTGTTGACGATGTCGTAATTTGTGACACGATTGACAACTCTGTATGCCACGCGACGGATAAAGTGTGCACGTGCATTTCCGACTTTGTTGCATCTCTGGACCTTTATCGTTGCTTACCTGGTATTTTTCTTGTTCAATTAATATTATTGCAAAACAAACTTTATTAATTCATAAATAAACTATATTTTTAGTTCTATTTGCTATATTATTACGCTTTGAAACTCATCAAAAGTGCAACAAAAAGTGAAAAATTTTTATTTCTTTTTCTATTTAAAACCTGCATTATTTAAAAGCAGTCACAGTATTCTTGTTTTTCTGGTTTTTAATCTTAATTTTCTTTAAAATCATTAGCAAAAATGTTATTCAATCTTACAAATTACTATTGTAAATTAATTTTTACTCTTAATATGAACTTTATGCATGGGCATTTGGAAAAAGATGAGTTATAGTTTAAATTCAAATTAACATTAAAAAATTTTTGAATTAAATTTGACTTTGTTAATTACATCTTTAGTTCTGTTCAACTGTTTAGTTGGCATTATTTTGATTTTTAAATTTCTAGTCACTGGTGACACCCTCGGAGGTCCCTGCGTGGAGAACCAGCAGTGCGACCCCAAAATCCCCAACTCCGCTTGCAGGGAGAGCGTTTGCTCGTGCCGAAACGAATTTGTGGCAGCCCTCGACACCAAATCGTGCCTCCCGTGTATGTCGAAAAATCATACCAAAATTTTGCAATTGTTGTTTTTTAAATAAATCTGGCAGATGCTGACCATGGAGAGGCCTGCTTGGAAAATTCACAGTGCGTTCTGACGCCAGGAGAGGTTAGCTGTGTCGATTCAAAGTGCGCGTGCAAAGCGAGTAACCATTTCTTGGAAGAAATTTGCTGGGTTGATCGCAGTAAGTTTACTCTAAAAAATTATGTTTTTTTTATGTGTATAAAACGGAAAGTTTTTAGGTCATTGAGAATTTTTTCAGAAGGAAAATATTATGATACTCAAAATTTCTTGTGTATTTTCTGTAACCATTTTAAGCTGAAATTGATTTAAAATCAACAGAGCTTGGAGAAACGTGTGCTGATAAACGAGAGTGTATTTTGGCCGACGGAAAAGTGAACAAGGTGGATTGCTTGCAAAGCAAATGTGCCTGCGTTGAGGGCTTCGTAGCAGATGTCAATGCCAATCTTTGCAACTCTGGTTAGTTCTTAACAAAACGGAGATTAATTTATTTTGATTAATCATTAATTAATTTTAATTTCAGGTGTTCAAATTGCAGTGACCGGTATTTTGCTTGTATTGGCAGCATTCTCAGCCAAATTTTTCTGAATTAATATCTAAATAAACTAATTATTTATACTCAAAGGTGTTTGATTTGATTGCTAAAGTCTTAATTCATCGGCAGTCGACGTTAAATCCACGGATCTTTCTAAGCATTTTTATTTCGGTATATTATCAGATAATATTAATCGTATTTATTTGATAATTCTGTTTCCAAAAGCTTGGAGCAAACAAAAGCTCTTATCGCGTGTTCCATGTATGGCTTAAAAATGTTTGTATCAAACGAATGACACAAAATGCTCAAAAAATCCCTCACGCGAAAGGATGATCAGCTTGCGAAAAATAAATGATTCGTTTGTTGATAGAGTTGGATAGGAGAAATGGAGGTATGGCTAATTAAACGTCACCTGCAGGCTTCATTTCAAAAGTTATTTCGTGCTCTTGATACAACGTCATAAAACAAACAAAGATTATTAAATATGCGGGTGAATGAAAGCCGATACTCAGAATTGAGAAATTAAGTGCCAGTGATAAAAAAAATCGGCAACACATGCAATTTGGAGCCGAGATGCATGCATCATTAAAAATGATTGGAAATTATTACTAAAAATACAACTTGCTTCATATTTTCAACTAGAAAGACTCATATTTAGCTAATAAAAAATAAATTTAAAATAAACACAAAAAAACATTAATTTTATTTGAATATAAAAAAGTTCATCAAACAATCATCTCTGTGATTAGACTTAAAATTTTTTGTATGGAGTAAAAAAAATAGTAGTTTTATTTATCTATTTTCATTCACATATTTAGTATTTTTGGTGTGTTTTAATTTAATTTATGACGTGAATGTAATAAAAAATAAAAATCTTTTGCTCATAAAATCTTAAAAATTGCCTTTATGTTTTAACATAAAACTGTTTTAAAATCTAGTCAAAGACTTTAAAAATTAATAAAATTGGATTATAATTTTTTTATTAAAAATTTAACATTAAATTGAATAAACTGCGTTGAATAATAGTCTCGCCGGCTGCATCTTAACTCTCAGTAAAAAAATGATGACATGACCTTTCATACCAAACAAAGTTGGTTGATTATTTTGCCAGATTCTTGACTTCTGTCTCATGGTATATATTGATAAGATTAGCAGCTTGGACAAACACCGCCAGTGCAAGTTAGTAGATCCGTTGGCGGCTACTGGAGAACCGGGTCACGCGATGGCTTTCAATTCACTTGTGATATTGCTGGTTTTGTTTACTGCTGGCCCAGCACTTTGCGTTCTGCAATACGATTTGGGAGCGTTGGCCGCGGATAATGTCTGGACAGTGGTCAACAAGAATGGCAGTGAGTTTTCAGATCTCATCAATTATAATTTAAATTAATTTAAATTTCAAAGGCATCAGCGTCAGTGCGACCGTCCCGGGCGGAATTTACTCGGATTTGCGAAGTGCAAATATAATTGATAGCGAATTTTATTACCGATTCAACGACCACCTTCACAGATGGGTTGGATTAGAAACTTGGACCTACAGCAGGCAATTCACGGGTGAGATATTATTTTTGGCCTAGTGAATTTGAATTTAGAAATAAAAATTATAAAATAAAACGCCGTTGGCTTTTTCTAGTGTATAAAAAAATCAAAAGTTCTTGAAGTTCATTGTTATGACAGAATTATTTAACATGACAGAAGATTAGATTACTAATTTATTGACAGAGTGTTTAATCAAGTTTGATAAAGAAATTCACGAAATTTCTTATTATATAATCAATTTTTGAAGAAAAGAAATAAATTACACTTATTTGATTGAACGTTTGAATTTATGTGTTTTAATATTTTTTATATAGTGCCAGCCGAGTTGACGGCAAAAAAGCAAATAAATCTAGTTTTCGAGGGCATTGACACTTACGGTCAGATTTTCATCAACAATGAAGTGCCAGTCACTGTGGACAACATGTTCGTTCGATATGTCATTCCATTTACACTACAGACAGTAAAAAAGTACTTTCTTTTTAGTTTGTCTTTAAAAAAAGAATACATTCTTAGGTCAATACAATTACTGTGGTGCTGCCGTCCACGGTCGAGTACGCGGCCAACAGGTCGGCGACGACTTTTGTCGCTCCAGCCTGCGTGGTACCCGAATATCAGGGCGAATGTCACGCCAATCAAGTGAGGAAAATGCAGGCGTCGTTCAGTTGGGATTGGGGTCCAGCTTTCCCGTCAGCTGGAATTTGGTAATTTATGCTTTATAAAAGGAATTCTGAAGCTGATTAATTGAAATTTTCTGAAGGAAAAACGTTTACGTTGAGGCGTACGATACCCTGTTGATTCGAGACACCATCTACGATATTCAATTTTCAGAGGCGGATCAGAATTGGAATGTGAGTGGAATATTAAAATATTGAAACAATGTAAAAAATTCAATCCAATAACTTATTTAAAAAAGTTAAAACTTATCAAGAAGATCAGATAAATATTATTTAATTGTAACTGAGGAAAAATTTTTTAGCTTGTGGCAAAATTATGCAACAAAATAGTGTTATATTTAAATTTTTAAGAAATTATTCAAATTTCAGTCTTTTTCGCTCTGAAAATTAATTAAATTAAATTTTTTATATCAAAAAACACTATCTTCGTCTGATTGTGAAATCACATATTATATTTTTAAACAAATTTACCTAAACATATTGGCAGAATTAATTTTGTATGCGAGAAACTAGAAATCAAAGTTTGAACATTAAATTTCACCAAGCAAATTTTAGTAGAATTTGACATTTTTTTATTCATAATTAGGTCAATGTCAGAGTGCACGCAGAAGCTCTTTCAAGACAAGTCTCGTCCGGTGCTGGAGATTTGGAATTGCAAATTCAAGTGGATAACGTCACCATCACCTCCAGAAAAAGGGTTTCTTACCAAAACATTCAAGGAGAAATCTCCTTTTCCATTTCTACAAATATTCCTGCCGTAAGAAAAATAAAATCAAAGGCATATTTGGAAGTTGGTAAATATAAAATCTTAGTCTTCAGTACAAACGTGGTGGCCAAATGGAATTGGAAAAAGTCGCAAAATTTATACATCCAGGGTGACCTACACTCCTGATGGTGTGACCGAAACTGCAGAAAAGGACAATACAATTGCTTTCAGGACTCTTCGAGTGGTGCAGGACTTCGTCGATCCAAACAATATAACCAAAGGCACTGTTAAAAGGATTTTTAATTGGTTAAATTTAATATTTTAATCGATGCAGGGCGTCATTTTTACTTTGAGGTGAACGGTCAGCCAATTTTCATGAAAGGCTCAAATTGGATTCCGGCCCACGTGCTCCCTGAGATCGGTTCTGACCCCAAGTACGCGGAAAATCTGCTCAGGGCGTCTGCAGAAGCCGACTTCAACATGCTGCGGGTCTGGGGCGGCGGCGTCTACGAGAGCGACCGGTTTTACCAGGTTAGATTTGGAAATTTAGGCAACTTGCTCGACGTTGATGTGGTGCGTGGTGCATAATTTCAGCTTTGCGACGAGCTGGGCATCCTGGTGTGGCAGGACTTTTTGTTCGCGTGCAGCATGTACCCGGTGGACGGACCGTATCTGGACAGCGTCCGAACCGAGATCGTCCAGACCGTCCGACGACTGCAGCACCACCCGAGTATCGCTCTCTGGGCAGGAAATAATGAGAATGAAGCTGCCTTGATCGGAAACTGGTAAATTATTGATCAGTCAATTTTATCACAACAAGTGTAAAAATTTTGAAGAATAACTTTCTTTGTTTCATAATAAAATTAAAGAAAATTGCTCTTGGAAAAAAACCTAAGAAAATAAATTTAAATGATAATCTCTAAAATTCCACAAGAATATTTCATCGTTAAAAAGCTTAAAACTATCTTTCAATTGACATTAATTTTGAATCGTAATGATCCAGTGTCAAAATTAGCTTCTGGATCAAATTTAAAATTATTATTTTAAACGTAAATCAATAATACTTTTCCACCATTTTTGGTATAATTATTGCTTAAAACTTAAAAAAAATTGTTGTAAAATAATTGTAATGGAATCTAGCTAGGTCGTTTTCTAAATATTGAAAAAGTTCCAATGAGGATGTCATTTTTTTTTAAGCTTTTTCTTTGGATTTTTATTTTATTGAATATTTTTAGGTATCAAACTCAAGCCAATTTCTCCGCGTACAAAGATCAGTATATTCAACTTTACGTGGACACCCTGAAGCCTTTGGTCAACATCGAAGACCCAACCAGGGCTTACTTGGTTTCCAGTCCATCAAACGGAATCAAGTCGGAGGAGGACGGCTTCATTTCCAACGACCCATACAGTGCCCTTTATGGAGACAGTGAGCGCAATTGAGAAATTAATAATTTAAAAATAATTTTAAATATTTATTTTTTAGTTCATTATTACAATTACTTGGCTGACGGTTGGGACCCTGCCGTGTACCCTCGAACGCGATTCGCCTCCGAATTCGGTTTCCAGTCTTACCCTTCAATGTGGGCACTGAGGCAGGACGTGGCCGCCGGCGACCTGGACTTGGGTCTCAACAGCGAAATCATCAACCAGAGGCAGCATCATCCCGGTGGCAACGCGGAGTTGAAATTGCAAATCGAGCACCGGCTCTTGCCAGGAGGACAATACAATTGGGACAATCTGGCCATGTTTGAAAAGTTCACGTACCTCACCCAGGTAAGTAATCTAAAAAAAAAAATAATTATTCCTTAAAAAGGTCTGAAAGCTAAAAAAAAAATAATAATAATAAATAAATTTTTTGAATGCTCTTTGAGGGCAAAATATTTTTTTGAAATACTCTTTTAAGTAATTTCTACGCTTTATAAATTTTTGAAATTCATATATTGCCTCAATATTTTGATAACAATTTAGTTTTTAATTTTTTTTGTATTTTTTAGATTTATCAAGCTATGGCGACCAAAACTGAGGCCGAATGCCACCGCCGATGGAGGGGGTGGTACGATGAGCCGACGGGAGAGGGTTTGACCATGGGGTCGCTGTACTGGCAGCTCAACGATATTTGGAACGCACCCACCTGGGCGGGAATTCGTAAAAGAGATAATATTTAAAATTTAATTTTTAATTACAAATTTTTGCAAAATCAGAGCACGACGGCACGTGGAAAATGATGCACTACTACGCAGCCAAAATTTTCAGCCCCCTTCACCTGTCCGCCTATGTCACCCCTGACCGCCGACTCTCTCTTCACGCAATAACCGATTTACTGGACAACTACGGAGATGTCAAAAGTCAAATCAACGTCCACTCTTGGTCTCAGTTGGAACCACTTTTGTCGTTAAATTACGATTTCACACTGGTAAATAATTAATATTTTCTCTTATTTAAAACAAAATAATTTAATCTGGAAAATGATTTTCAGCAAAATAATTCCGCTTTTGAAGTTAACTCGCAACCCTTGGCGCCTATTCTCGAATCTGCCGGCTGCGGAAATTTAATTCAACACGCCCAAAGTCGAATTCCCGAAGATGCTTGTTTCTTGGTAGTGCAGCTTTTAGAAAGGAGTACCTCGGAGCTGCTTGCCGAAAATTTCGTGATTTTGTCACGATTTGCCGACGCTGTTGGAATTGTAGTTCGACCCCAGCTACAGGTATATAATTATTTAATTATATAATTAAAATAATAAAATACCATTTTAGATTAATGGAGTCACCCTGTCAACTATGCAACCCCAGTTCAGTCGGTACGTCCAAGTTTTTGACATTCAAATAACAACGGACAACGTGGCTCCGTTCGTTTGGCTGGACGCGGCGGACGCCAAGGGCCGATTTTCGGACAACGGCTTCATTTTGACCAATTCCACCAAAACCGTTCAGTATTACGCCCTGGAAACGCTGACCGCTGCCGACCTGCAGGCGAAACTGACCATCACTTCCTTAACTCACAATTGGTTGTAAAAAAAAAAAAAAATATTGAAATTGAGCGATTTTATTAAAATAAAAATATATTTTGAAAAGATAACGAAATTTAAAAATTATAATCGCGTCCATTTATAAAGAGCCATGGTGAGGAACTCTAAATTTAATTTACTTAGTTAAATATATAAAATACATATTTGAATAATTCAGATCAGAAAATAAATACGCAGAGGTAAAGTTAAAGGTGAATGTTCTCAGCTGTCTTCCTCTGACATCATAACAGTTTCTATCTCTCTATTTTTTTTTCGCGTAAAAGAATATTTTTAGGATAATAATAATTTCTTCAATCCTCATTTTTCACTTTAATTCCCTGTCTTCTCATGTAGCACGCGCCTTTTCATTAATTAATGAGCCGTTTGCCTCTTCCTGCATAGATGCCGCCAGTGGATGGCTTTGGCACATCGCGCAATCTGGTGGCAGACATTGGGAGACTTTAAAATGAAATTTAATTCTCTTTGTGTGTCCTTATGAATTGTAATTTAACACCTTCATCTTTCAGAAAATAATTCGACAAAAATTTTACTTGAATCCATCAAACTTAGCTATTTTAAGATCAAAATGTGAATTACATACAAATTTTATTTATTTTTCCTATTAAAACTCAAAAAGTCAAAACTGGCAGTATTTTTTACTTCAAACTTCAAATTTTTTTTTATTTAAAATTGTTATAAAATTTTACTTAAAAAGATATTTAAAAAAAATTACTAAAACAATATCAATTAAAGAATTTCAAAATATTTGCATTAATTTAATTATATTCAGAGCTATAATTGAATTTTCCTCGCATTTTTACGTGGGATTGGCATGAAATTTATTACACTGCGAAAGGACTCGCTTCAAATTTATGAATGAAATAATTTAGCAAGACATCCGCAGGAATGAACCATCTGCTCCTCATTGTACGATATTAGTTATCGAACTGCTAGTGAATGGGGCAGGCGTTTGTGCCTCACCCAAGTTGGAAAAATTCGACGCCAGTAGCTAAAAACCGAAAGAGCTGCAAGTTCTTTTAATTACAAGCTTCGATCGGCGTGTCCGATATAATGATATATAAAGCATAAATTCAAAAAATCAAATGTAACATTTTTATTTATTGCGTTTCGATCCCCCTGGAGTAAAAAACTGCAGGAGCAGCCCACCTTTATTCCTACTGTCAACGAGTTTGTTCCAAACCAGTAATTGTTATGCCATGCTGGAAAAATATTAAGTTTTATGGTTGAAATATTTATTTGAATGAGCGCCCAGCCAAGGCGCATTATTTCCGTTGAGAGGGCATTATTTATTTCATTTAATCTGAGCCGGCTTCAGGTTATTTCTATTTGAATTTCATGTAAATAATTTTAAATGATCGTCTGCATTTTAGATTTTTTTTTTGTTCTAAATTTATTTCCAAGTCAGAATCGTCAGAATATAATAATTAATGATTTAATCTCTCTGACAAAATCCGTTATACTTATTTTCTCAACATCAAATTTTCATTCAGACCGAAAATTGCAAATTGTCAATAAGTTTATGGAAACCTTCGCCGTCCGCTGGAATTTTGTCATACAGTGTGCCGAGGACAGTCAACAAATGGATGCACGCGGCGATGGCACCCAGAAGATGCCAAATTGCGTGGGCAAACGGAATCCGTCCGTCCATTTTGAAGAAAAACACCCCCGCGATGTAAAACAATCCGCCAATTTGAATTTCGAACAAAACAGGGACGTCCTATTCGCAAATCAGATAAAAAGTCAAGTGAAAAGATTAATTAGCCAGACTCACAATTGATAAGAAAGCGAGTCCGGGAGCGATTCCCATGATGAGGTAAAAGGTCGTCTCGAGCCACTTGAATCGTTCGTGGAAAATCTGTTGGTAGAGAATGCCCACGGAGGCGAAAACCCAAATCAGCCACCAAAGCTCAGCCACCAGTCCATGCGGAGGGACGCGGGTCAAGGTGAGCCAAGGGAAGTACGAGGCGGCGATAAAAATGTAGATCATCGCCCTGTCACATCTGTGTAGAACGTCTTTGACCGGCCTAACAAGTTCAAATATTACTTTATTTTAAGGATCTCTAAATAAAGAAAATAAAATTAGTTGTGATGGCAAATTATTTGAACAAACCAGAAGTTTGTTTTATGATTCAAACGATTTTTAATATATTATTTTTGAAGTAAACAAACTATATTTATTATTATTTTTTTTTTATTAAAAGCGATTGTCGATGTAAAAAATCTTGATCTCAATTGTGTTATAAAAAAGTAATTTTTTTTACCCTCGAGTTTGGCACAAAAGTGCACAGTGAAAGGTGGTGGAGACGGTGAATATTGAGATTATGGACAAGCTGTAGACAACAGCGACTAGAAGTTGAGGCCACGTCGTGGATCGTTGCAACAGAGAATGGCCACCCCAAATACTGAACGGAATCCAAATCTTCAGAGCAAAAACTTGCAAGGTTAAAAGTATACAGTGAAAAAATAAAAGTACCCCATTTGTGATGACATTGGCAATGTGCTCGACAGTTGTAGGGTTGTAGGCCTTGTTTGGAGGCGCCCTTTCGTTCATCCATTTGTACCTATTTACGGTCAGTAAAAATTATAAAATATTTTTAAATAAACCGACTCACTGTTTTAAAAGGCGAAGGAAAGTCGAGTCGAACGAATTCATGATCGACGATGCAGGCCTTTCTTGGGCAAAAGCGAGAATAATTTTTTTGCGATAGCGCTTCTTTTTCTGGTGCAAAACTCGGCACTCATACTGCTTCGTCGTGCATTGCACAATGTCGTCCCTCTCCGATGACTAAAGAATCGCGGCTAAAAAACGCGCACATCAGCTGCCTAAGACGAAAGATTATTTTTGCACTATAACTCTCGCTTATATATGTATATACTTTTAAATTTAGCACATAATTTGTATACAAACGACTGTAGCTTTATCATTTTTTTCTTATCAGTTTTAGTAAATATGGTTCCAATGACGTACATATTAGTTTTAATAATATAGGAGTTAATGAAAGTAAAAACTAGAAGTTAGAGAAAATTAAATATTTTAAAACTATGTAACTTGCATCCATACTTAATGATGGAGAAGAATTTTTTCAAGCGTATCTGTAAAAGAATTGCAAAGAATTTAGTAATTAGTAAATTTAATCTTTTTTAATCTGTGACATCTTTTGAATGTAAGCAGTCTAAATTAATTAAATTTATTCTATTGGATTAATTGACGATCGAATTTAATTATTTTTATATGTTCATACCGAATTTGGACTTGAACATGAGTGCTGATGAAGCGCGCAAAAGAAATTATATTCATGCTTTCAATATTAATCTACAAGAGATAATTATGCATTGACTTGATAAACTTTTTGTTTTTTATTATAGTTACATTTTATGAAAAAATCAGTTTATTTTTGAATCGTTAAAAATTTGGTTTACCTAATTTTAGTAAGAATTTAAATATTTTAAAATGTTAGAGTGTGTAGGATCAGTACATAAATTTCATTATTATTCATATTTTGGTACTTCTATCCTGACAGATAGTTGTCTTCTATAAATATACCATAATTTTATGAAATTGAACTTGTAATTTTAATAATAATTAAATATAATCAAAATTATATAAATCTCATTTGCAAATAATTTTTTTACAGATAACAAGATTTTAGTAAAACTATTTAAATATTTTAATATCGACACTTAACCTCATTGTCAGAGAATAGAGAATGAAAAATCCAAGGATATTTTCTTATTTGTATCTTTGCTTTGGTCTTGCCTATAATAATCTTTCTCTGAAGATAAATCACCCACGTCCCAGCAGATCATGTAATGCACGTTGGCGCGCAGATCGGTGAGAGATCAATGTATAAATAATATATGCTAACAAACGCGGCAAGTTGGAGGGAAATATCAGAAAATATATCGCGTGGCCACACGAATTTTGTTTCACATTGTGCGCCAGCCGCGGAGAGTGACGCAGCGAAACGCGCCCGCTGATTTTCAAAAGGTCTCCGCGCCTTTTTAATACACGATAGGTGGAAATTTCAATGCACGACGGCCATAGGATTTAAATGTAAAGCGGCCGCAGCATGCGGTGCGCGCCGGAGTAAAAAATCCAATACATAATTTCTTTTCTCTTTTTAATTCCAAAGCCGGCTTTTCATGTACATCAAACATCTCACATACATATTCGGACAGAAAAATTTTAATAACACTGAAACAAACATGAGTAAGCATATAATCGGGAATTGATTTTTGTATTATGCACCAAGAATCGTTGCTCGGAAAAAATATCGCCGCGCGCTGTAGTCCATATTTAGTAGCAGTTTAAGTGCTTTCCATTAGCCAGCATTGCCCCTAATATCTATTAGAATGAACCATCGAAAATAACAGCTTGACGAGCGAGAGAGACGCGCTAGCTCTCATCACTCGGGCCAATTTCGGCCCTTTTTTCTGGTAATCCTTTCAAAAGGGGCAGAACAGAATTCGAAATATTCGAGAGAAGCTTCAGAAGCACCGGCAAAAAGTTTGATTGACATCATCCTTTTTGGCACTATAAGGAAAAGCGAGAGGAAAAAAAGTGCTCTCTGATCATAAAACTATAAATAAGTAAATGCAAATTTAGTAATTAAAAAAAATATCGGAAATTTATAATTTATTTATAAATTGCAAACAATTCTATAAAATAATTTTAAAAAAATCTTATTAAAATAATTTTAAATCCACTTATTTTCCTCAGACATAAAAGATTAAATCGTTTAAATATTTTTTTTTTTTTTTTAAATTGAGTTTTATAATATCAATTAAAATACCAAACTTTGAATTCTTTTTAAAAATGTGTGGAAGTGTTTAAACTTTAATATGATTTATTTGTTATTATAAATTTTTTCATAATTTCAATATTTTTACATCCATATTCTATATTTACCGTTTTAGAAAAGACAGTTAAATGGCATGCAAATCAAATAACGAAAACAAACCGGCGCTGCATATATTTGAACAATGAGGTCTGCGTGCAGCGCAGTTGCCCTCTCTAGAGATCACACCTGCTGCCAAACGTTCGGTGCGTCTATCTCCATTGTTCGAGACGCAGCATCCCGGTCGGTTGGTCCATGCCATGAGCGCGCCAAAAGAAATGCATTCTGGTGATTTCCCTTTCAATGAGGGCACGCGCCGCGCGCCGACACGGCGCACTGGCCAAAGCAACTGTCCAGCTCTTCCAATCCTTTGTTGCATTCAAGCTTAATATGCTTGCACTAGGGCCTGATTGTAATGAGAGACGATCTGGAGGAGAGACATGCACCGTTGAAGAATGAACCGTCGCCTCGCTGCGGTTATTAATCTTGTCTTTTGGCGCTCGACTGACGTTCGATGCCTGTCAACGCGGCTCGCTAAATAATCGAGTTAATTTTGTTTTAATGAGGAAATGTGAATTTTTCTCTTAAAAAAAAAAAACTGTAAGTTCAAGACTTTTTCTTTGGGGGTAAAAAAAAAATTAAATAAATTTCTTAATTCAAATTTTTTTCCGAATTATAGCTACATAGTTCTCTTAAAATATAAAAAACTTTCTCTGAAGATAAAATTAAAAAAATCGGATAATTTAAAAATTTTAATCTCCTAAAATTTTCCATGCAATTTTAGAAAAAGATTAATCTTGTTAGAGGAATGATTAATGATTGAATTATACACTTCAGTAGAAAAAATTTAAATTACCTTCAAGGAAAATAAGTGAATTTATTTGAAACACATTATTTTCAAATGCCAAAGAAATTGATATTAAATATGGTCAATTTTTCTTACAATAATTATACAAAGGGGTGAAAAGTTGATTGACCTTTTCATTGTGTCGAGATTTTTTGCATGTTCTAATCCCTTGTCATAACAAAAATGCGCCCGCATTCCAGCGCAATGTGTCTGCATCTGACAAAAGGGCAAACCTCCCAAATAATTCTCTCTTTCTGCCGTTCCGATATTGTGCGCGGCGCGCGACGCTGCTGTGATTTAATAACAACAACACATAGTGAGAGAGAGAGAGATATAATAATGCCCAATGTAAAAGAGTCCCCATTGTGTTGTAAATTGTCACTTGTTGCGCTCGTTTATCATGTTTCCACATTCACGGGGATGCGATAATCTTCTTTGTGTTCTGCAGCGCGCATTTGTTATGATCTAATCAAGCATGTCGCCGTGCGATTGAGAGCGAGGGGGTGACACGCTGCTGCGTTTTGTTACATAAAAGTAGCTTTTCGCCGCCAAAAAAGGTGAAAGGGCGGCCGACAGCAATGCGGAAATGATCGACACACACGTAATTCTCCATTTATCAATATCCCCCATGGCAACCAAATAGAACTGAAATTTCTACACGCACCAATCATTTCAGATTTTTTTTTAAGAATTGAAGGATTCGTCATCAACTTGATCTTTGTTAATTATAGAACAATTATTATAGTTTTATGATAAATGTGTTGGTGTATTTAATTTAGAAAGGGTTAAAGTGCGTGTACATTTTTAAATTTGAAAATTTGGTAAGTATTTGTAAATTATTTGAATTAATGGCAATCTTTTTTTTGTCTATTTCACAACTCCCTTTTAAATATATTTTAAAAACAATATTTAAGTAAATTGTTCTCCTTTTTCAGGAAATTTAAAAAAAAAACATAATTATTGTTTTCAAGTAATTATGACTTGATTTTGAGGGCGACTGTACACTCAACGATTTTAAATAAATTATCCCTTCAAAATTAATTTGCAATTAATTTAATTTAAGACTAATATGCTGGAAAAAAATATTTTTTGTGTAATTTTTTGTAATTTAATTTTCATGAATTTTTAAGAAGCTTTGTGTAGAGAGAAATAATTCAACATGAAGTTTAACGAACAACAAACAGGCGGGAAGTTCTTAACAATCACCATTGCAAGTTGTGGAGCGCATATCAAAATTATATAAAGGATCTCTAGAGTTCCGTATAACAAACGTCCTAGCTCATCTCTCTCGTCTACTGGTCATTCTCATTATGCATTATTTTCCTCATTGTGCGTTGTGTGCGATATTATGCAGACGAGCAGCAGAGAGATGGATGCACGTGAATTGTGTCGCCGCAGCATCTTTGTTGCAGCGAGACCATTGTCATCCGGATGCTGCAGCCGGGCTTTTTGTAACGATCTCTGGATGCATCTCGTGCAACACATGCCATTGTGTCATTCAAGACGCAGCAGAAAAATGTTGGAATTGTAACGAAATGTTTTTTTTTTACGACAGATTTCTTCACAATCAGACTTTGATTATATTTAAAAAGGATTTTATTATATTTATATAAATGGAATTTTTAATGATTATCCATCGGTCAATTTTTAACCGAGAAAATTCATTAATTCTTCTTTGTTGGACACTTTTCCCCCGGCACCATGACATGTCACAAAAGTCAAGCGACGCGATTTCGTTGGGAAAAAAGGAAAGGGTTTTGATGAGGAGGAATTTCGTCTAGATAGGCAGGAATTCATCTCGGGAAGGGTCAATCCTATTGAGAAAGCGCTGGTTTCACAAAAAGCTAGAGGGACCGGGGTACGTATATAAATGATCAATGACTTGCAAGAACAACAACAACAACAAGAGGATTAATGGTCTTCTTATTACAACAGACAGCAGCCACTTTTATGTGTATATATCCCGGGAATAAATTTTTATTTTCATATATGTTTCGTTTTCCCGGAGAACAGACACGCCTTCGATCAGCCTTTTCTTCGTCCGAGCGGCTTCTCTCCAAAAGTTAATACATATAAAATAGTTTTGGCCCCCGAGCAGAATCAAACCGCTGTTATTTCCATATTGGAGCAGAACAAAAGATTTATGGCGATTTTTCATTTCACAGCCGCGCACGATATTTATGTGCGGGGTTATTCTTCATTTGTTTGGCTTCCAACAGCCGCATTTGTTATAAATTTCTGCCCTCTCATTTCCAACACTGACATATCGGAATAATTTTCTTTTGATCTCGTTCATCTATGATGCATAAATACATGCAAATTCATACAATTAAATGTCTGCTTGGTAATTAAAATCATATTAAGTTTTGAAAATTTTCGTTGATTAATTAAAAATTCGATCGATTTTTAAGAAAATTTAAAATTTAAACTATAAATTTAAATATTAATAGTATTGGTGAATTTTTCTTTTTTCAAATTATAAATTGTCATTTTAACTTATTAAAATTTGCTACTTTAAAGATTTAACTGCTAAAAAAGTATGCCTAGTAATTGATCTATTTGAATTTGTAATCTTTGACTAACCTTAAATTTCTTTGAGACTTAAGACTTTTCACCTGAGACTTCTGCAGCTGAAAATACGCACAAAATTCAAGAAATCATGGCATTCGCAAGCGAGTTTTTATCAAAGGATTAGTTGATTTCGGCAAAGTATAATTTTCTGAAACGAATATGCATGGACTTTTGAATAAAATAAAAATAAAATGTCCTCAAGTGCCAATTTTGAGGATATTTCATTGCCACGATCAAGATCAGATCACGGGATATTAGCATTTGAACAAAAAATCTCTTATATCGAATTTTTATGATCGTACTAAACCGCCAAAAATCTGCATGAATAAATTACTATTTTATAGCATTTATTGGCCATTTTATAGGGGCGCAGATTGAGGCGAAATCGGTGATTTCGGCTATAAAATGAAAATAATCTAAAATAAAACGAGTCTTTTTATGGAATGTTAATGAACGTCGAAAGTATTTCGCCGGCGTTTTATGGTCCATAAAATCACTTTTAGAAGGAAAAAACGGCGGAAGCGAGTTTGATTTTAAAATATACAAAAGCATGGGAACGTACGTACTTGCATAAGGGTCATGTACTTTCGATTTCAAAAGAGGTCATGATGCGTGCATTACACGAACTGAAAATTCCGCTCTTTCGGGCCGGAGAGAGTGATTGATGCTTTATTTTCACAGTGATCAATCATTAAAAATCCGAAAAATGCCGAGAGCAAGAAGGGTTGAGAATCTCGAAACGGTTGTCACGCGTTGTTGTTATCATTTCCTCGATGATGCAGCACGGCGGCATTGTGCTCGAAAAATAAATTCCCGACCAGGTGCTTCTTCGGACGGACACTCAGCCGCCCTTTCCTGTTCTCATTCATTGTTGCGCAACCCTTGCTTGCTTCCTTAATCTTGGAGCTTTTTCTTGCGTTTTTGTGTAAATAATGAATTACAGTACATGGCAGAGGGTGACACAAAGAAAGGCAGGGGACAATGATGGGTGTACGCGCGGCCAGGAAGATGCAGCATCATTACGGTCGGCCGTGACGTGAAATGCGCAGAGCGGTGTCATTTTTTGAAAGCGGAACACTCTTACTACCCCTTTGGCTTTCAGACCACCGGGGGTTGCAACCGTTGGAATATCTCACCCAAAATTTATAATGGGAGTCTTAAATTCTGATATACCTTCATAATTTTTGCTAAAAATTTAAAAGCAGCAGAAAAGAAAGAAAAAATATGAGACAATAAATTTTTATTTAGATCTGATATATTTTTTGTAGCAAACTTATATTAATATCATAATTAAATCTTATTAAATTTATCAAATTTTAATTATTAAAATAAAAATTTTCTCTCATTTTCAAATGTTTTAAATTTAATAAATACTTAAATTATAACTGTAAATATATGAAAAATATTTGCTGGTCTAATGTTTTTATATTAGGTGATATCAAAAATGCAACGATTTATTAAAAATAAATAATTTATAAATAAAATTTGCTTTTAAGTGATAACTGATAAACACTCAAAATTCAAATGAGCAATTCATTTTCCTCTATTTAGGTATCAATATTAGGAATCCAGTTTATTTATTTTTTACATTAGTATTATCTTATTCAAATGAAAAATTAATTACTAAATGTGCTGCGTATTTTTTTTTATAATTTGTGCATCACAAAGTATGAAAATGTTAAAACATTCACAAATATTCTTATTGCTACTTATTTTCGAAGAATCTGGACGCCACGTAAATATTTTCTTGATTTTAAAAGGTGGTTCTTGAACTGCTCTCGCGTTTTTTATTTTTGTGAGCGGCTCCGAGAAATTTTATGTCCCGCTCATTTTATGGCCATTTCTGCAGAAATAAGTGGCACCCAGATCGAGCCAGATTATATACAATTTTATACCCCGCGAAAACAAGAGTCTTCGCTGGCCGCGTCTTTTATGGAAATCGAATCTCATTCTCGCTTTTCCGGCGTCTCGATATATTAAATTGAGCAGCTCTCTCGGTACCCAGTGTCGTGCAAAAGCAACTTTATTCGCCCATAAAACACGCCGTTCCAGAGCAGATTTTCGCCATCTTTTAATGGCAAATGTTGTTTTATTAAGGCCTCGCCGTTTTCGAGAGAGATATTGAGCCCGGCGTGTATCATGTGACCCAATAAAGTCGGCTTTATAATTGTAATTAAAGAAAATAAACCCCTCCGCAACACGCTGCGGCAACGCCATAATCGTTAAAAATGAGTGCAGGTAGAGGTTTTACGGTCGCCAAAGCATATAAAAATGATAATTTCCAGCACATTCAAATCGAAGAAACAACAGGACCAGCCCCATAAATTCAGCATCTGTGGAAAAAGGAGCGTCTCACATTGGGCCAGAAAAGAGAAGTCTTAAAAAACCAACTTTAAAATGGACATAAAAGTAATATAAGCACGGTTTATGGCTAATTAAAGTTATATTCCAGCTCTTTTCCTTAAAAAACGTTGCAGTTAACTTCTTCTTTTTCACCAGATTTTCAAAGGACATTTCTTATATGGAGGGTTTAATTAATTACGTCTCATTTAATAGGCACTTTCTGATAGCCGGTCGATATTTTGGGCTTGTTAATGAGCACTCGAAAAAGTGGAAATCTCGCATTTTAGAGCCCATTTGAGTGGATCGTAAAATTTTATTATTTTCCAACGCCGCCCTAATTTTGCGAAAAAGAGTGTTCCGCGCATTAAATGCGAGAGCAGCAAATAAGCACATAAATAAATCTGACTTTTCTCATTCGCGACATGCAAATTTTTTAGGAGATAAACCGGATAATTTAAAAATAAATTTGTATTCAAACTTACCCAAGAGTGCCACAAAGTTGTGTAGAATCAGCGCACTTCATTAAGGTCCCTGAAATAGAAAACAAGAAGCGTTGTTTAATGAAGAAGATTAAAAATGCGAAGAAAAAAATATCAATTTAGTATAATCAATCTCATTATTTATTTGATTTTCAAAAGTTCTCCTTTTTTTATTACATACATACATATAGTTTGTTTAATCTTTATACTTACACAATTGCAAATTACGTCATTCTAACTAGTAACGTGTTAGTCTTTTTGGATAAAAAATATATCTTTGTTTTCATGAAAATTCTTTTGTAGCAAATATTATTTCCTTTTGGAAAAATTTGACTTATGAAAGTTCTACGTTTTATTTTAAAATGAATTAATTTCCGTCATAGTTTTCAAAACAAAAATTTGATTAAGATACTTTTGAATTTCATAATAAATAAGTTAAAACAGAATTTTGTGGATAGTATTTATGCGAAAGATTTGAGCCTAAAAATAAGAATTTCTATTATTGTTGGTGACACAATGAAAAACACAAAGAACGCACCAATATACAATTAAAACATATTTTGAGGGAGCAAAAAGCACATTAACACTATAACTTGACAATAAAAGAGTAAGGAATCAGACAATCAGCTGTTTGAAAAAACGCTCACTTACAGCCATAGTGATATGAAAAACCGTCTAAATAAACCCGCAGAAACCAACCAGAGCGTTATGCAACAAAAAAAACGTGGTCTGGAATATACAAGACCTATTTTCGATTGAAGATTTTCACTTCATTTCAGAGCAGAATAAAGTCGATTTCAATAATCGACAGCATCCTTTTTAAGACTAAAGAAATCCGCATAAAAAACTCCATTATTCTTCAAAAGAGGATGTGAAACAAAAAAGAGAGAGGAAGTAAAAGTCTGTTTGGTGTGGTTCGGCTGGGGTGGTGAGAGAGGGAGGAAGACAATGTTCATAAATCGGGAGCATCTTCGTTTGTTAAATAAGACATCAAACTGCCGGCGGCGGAGAATGAAACTCTTAAGAAAGGGTGCAGCGAAAAATGGGTTGTCGCAGGCCGTATATTTTTAGTGACAAGTGCGCAGCCGGATATGCTTAATGAAGTTAGGCGCCAATCATGCATATTCAAAAATAATACTCCGGTTTGGAAATGCTCCGAAAAGCACCCCTTTGGTACCACGTTGATAATTATACATGTGGTTTTTTATTCCCCACGCGTACGTCTGCCGCCTGTGCACGTCCCTCTTTGGAAAAAAGAGAATGCATTCGTCTATTTCTGCCTAATACATTTTTTCCGCTGACAGCTGGAATCCCAGAAATAAAAAAAAGTGCCGCTCACAAAAAATAATAACACAAATATAATGCGAGCGAGGGTGCGCGCTCGCTTTTTTCTCCCGAAAGGAATGAACGGGGTGCTCTGCTCTTATGTGTGCGCATTGCCGACGATGATAATAATAGACATATTGTGCGGAAAAAAATGTATAAAAAAAGCACGTCGCTCGTGGGAAGAAAAGGGTTTCCCTCTCGCGCTTATTTTTTACCTGCACGGATTGTATTATTTTTCTCGGGAGTCTCAAGTTCATGGTAAATAATTCTCTTCCAAAATCTCCGTTTTTTTTTTATTTTTAGGCGGGGCCGCGTGCACGTTTGTGTGGAAGTGTAATATTGTCTTCTCTCGGTGTGAAAGTCGTGGTCTCAAAGATTGAGAGGCGTCATTAAATATTATTGTCTCCGGCGACACGTTTTTATTGCAAAAACCCGCTTAAGTATCGCATTACTTTTGGACACTCGCAAATTTTCGACTTGACGTGAGGCGTATATTTCAGAAAAAGGGCACAGAGATGTGAAACTTGATTCGGAACATTCTGAACAAAAGAGAATAATTATTGGATGAAATATCTGATTATTTGAGATGTTTGCAGTTTTTGACTGGCCAAAATGCCTATAAATCTCACATTGCAAGTTGATAACTAAATTTAATATCAATTTGAATTATTGTAAATTTTCTCCTAAATTTACTGACACGATTTTTTGGTACCTGAAATAATTATAGTAATTGGTTGTTTGATTTGTAATATTTTTGAAGAAAAGAAGCATCTCCGCAATATAAAATATAAACCAATATTTAAAAATAATACAAGAAGCTAAATTATAGCATAATGAAGAGCTAAAAAAATGGTTTAGGAAGTTTTAAATTTAAAAAGGAAACTCATTGAAAACTTTTAAATTAAAATTATTTAAGAGTCACTGATTATTTTTTAATTTTGTTCCCTATATTTTTCACAACCTTAATTTTGAAATATAAAAAAAATCATCAATCCACTACTTCTAATTTTTTTTTTTTTTAATTAAAATTAAAATCAAGTCTGAACACAAATTTGCAGTTATTGAATTATATATTATTAACATTTAAAATAGATTTCTCCAAAATTCTGCACCAGCACATGTTGCCAGTAAGGCGATAAAAAGCGTCAAACGGCTGAACCGAGAACGAGAAAAGACGCAGAGAGAGATGAAGTCGAGGTGTTGGATTTCAGCAAAAAGAATAAGGGCTGCAGCAACACTTGCGGAAATTCGATCTGGCGCGCACCGGCCAGCAGTCAAGTCCTCTGCAATAAGCGCTTACACGCGAGGAAGAAATTGTGAGTCTCATTCATATAAGAATAAGCAGCAGAGAGGCGATTCGCGCTCAAAAAGGGCAACGCGTGTGTTTTACAAGGGACAACGGTGATAATATTTCTCTCGGCCGTCGCGATTTTCTCACTAAAAACTCACTTGGTTGTAATTTGTATCGGGTATCACCCTTTTACATCTGTGTAGTGTTTTTTTCTCTCTCTGTTCTCATCAAGCTCCCGACGTGAAAATTTTCCTTCGATTTTCGAGCAAATTCGAAAGGTCTCTTGTAAGAAGAAACCGCCGATGTGACATCATTACACTCGACTTCTCGTGTGAAATTCCTTCTTTTCTTTTTCTCCCTTGCGCGGTTTAATCCTCTCGTGATTTCGGCAAACGTGTGTGTTTAATTCCTTTTGCGTAATAACCAGTTAAATCCGATAATGTCGAGATTAAAACTGCGAGGGGCTTTTCAGGGGAAAATATACTTCACTCCGGGCGCAATGCATAATTTATAATAATATTTCTCGTGAAACACCGTGGAATGATAATAATATTTTGAATGGAGCGAGGAATTAAAAAAGAAAATAATACGGTCGTAATTTATTATTCCATTTTGGTGGCGTAAGACGTCGGCTCGGTATATGGGCAGAAGCGAGAGGATGACCGCAGGGATTTCTGCCAATAGGAACATTAATTACGTCGTGGCAGCAGATTTTATCATCCACCTTTATTTTGAATAAAACTGCCCCTCGGGCCACCTCACTCACTCACTCAGTATTATATTATTTTTCCTTCCATCCGACGAACAAAAAGTCTCTCTTGTTTTGGCTGATATCGATAATTAAACCCTCGCTAATTATCAGCTCGGTATTTAATTCGGCTGACAGTATTCATTAGCGGCAAGCTGCAATATTCATCATTTTCGGCAGCCGCGATTCTGTCATCAACGTTTCGCTCGATCTATTAATTACTGGCCATAGATTCGTTGATGATCAGATGTTGCAAGTCTTTTATATAATCATCATAAGAACACATAAGAAATATTTTTTTATTATTATTTCATTAATTGAAATGAGCCTTTAAGAGAACGTAGCATGAGAATGCAAAGCAAATTTGTTATTGTTGCTTAAAAATGTCAAGAATTCTGTTAAAATTTGTGCCTATTTAATTGATTGAAATGGTTTCACTGATTAGAGTGTATTGCATAAAATATGTTTAAGTTTTATCTTAATGGACTTATGATAAGTATTTATTACATCTTTACAGAATGTACATGCACCAATGTATAAAAAATCTTTGACAAAAATTATATATGTATATAAAAGTTATTAAAAAAAAGAAACAGAAATTTTATATTACCCAACATGAAATAATATTATTTTGCTATTTATTGTGATTTATAAATTTTTTAATATTAATTAACTTATTATAATTAGTAAAATTTCATATATTTTTATTTACCTATTTGCTATTTTACAATAATAACTTGCTTCAAATACTTGATATGACAATTCTTAAAAATTTAAAAAATATTACAAAGTAAATATAATTTGTAATCGTATCAGCTTAGGTTATAATATCTGTATACATTCCTTAAAATGAATTCCATCAGAGTTCCTTTGTCTTTACCAATCGTCTGATTACAAGAGTTACTGAACAGTTCTTGAAATTTGAATTCTGGATTGAATTTTACAAATATAAATAAAAATTTATAAAATAATAATTTCAAATTTAAATTAATTTTAGTAAAATTCAATTGAATTTGAGTTTCACATAAACAGATCTTAAAAAAACTGCATTCTTGTGTTGCATCATTAATAAATTGAAGATTCCATCTCCGTTTCAAAGTGCAATAAAACGGTCAAAATAATCATATTATGTGCACTGACTGAGAAGCATAAACACACATGCAATGCAACCGAAAAAGTTATGGCAGCGCTGAAAGCGGAGAACAGCGCGCGACACACGAAACTTGTTAATAAATAAAAATCTTAATGCATTAACAAATTTCCGTGGCGTCCATTATTCGTGCACGTAATACTCTCAGCATCAGGTCTCTCAACGTGCAATATACCATTGGATTGTGGTGAGGAGAGAAAAGTCTTGAATTTATTCATTTGCTCGGTGTTTATCAAACTTCATAAAATACACTCTCGGCTCGCTCGTCGACGTTGCCGCCTTATCCGTCGTGGTGTAGCCGATATTATTAAAAAGAGGGAACCGCAGCGAGTAAATTACGAGGAAGCAATAAAGCTCCAGCTTTTGCGGATAAGAGAAAAAGAGCGCAGATGAAGTTATCCGGCCTGCCTGTCCTGCTCTCGCTCGCAAGGGTTAGTTTGGAACCCACACACAACTCAGCGCGCTGCACGAAATAGAGAGTTTAATGTTGTGAGGCGAACACTCGGTGTAAATAAACTTGTCTCTGCCCGCTTATCG